TTATTTTGATGACTCTTGCACAAAGCATCTACAAAGAGAGACTTTCCAGTTAACCAGTGCTTCCAGTAATCGTACTCTTTGCTTAATACATCAGTTTTCCTCTATTTAATTTGGTTCAGACTGCTAAAATGGACTTGGCTAAGTGCATGATGAAATTGAAAGCTTACTGAGAAAGAGGTTTTGTTAAGCTCAGGCACTGCCATTTTTTGGAACCTGGGCAAAATTTACAAATTTAGATCAAGTGTTAGGGGCAGCTTGAACCAGGAGTTAAGCTAATGCTCTAAAATTATAGCTGCTCCTTCATATTCTGTGCTGAAAAAAAAAAAGAAAAAAAAAAGAAAAAAAAAACAACAAACCCAAACCCAAATAAGTATGTGCTCCATGTTATTAACAAAATGGTGTGTGCAATAGGCAGCCTTTCTTATTGATCTACTGAAATTGCTATCAACAATTTCTGTCTCAGTTTTCTCCTCTGAAGCACTAGAATTTAAGGCACTTAGCAATGTCATTGCTGCTTCTTAACCAGTTTTCTTGTAGCAATAGAAACAAAATCCACCAATTTCCTTTTTTTTTTTTTTTAAACGCTAAGAGATCACTAAAATTAGCTTGTTTTTGCCTCTTGGAGCCTTTCTCCCTCCTGCACTTCAAAGCCTCTTAGCCTCACTAGTTTCTTTCCTTCACACAAAATGTCAGTGTGGAAACTTCAAAAATGCCAGCTAGGTACTCTGAAAAGGTGTGAAATTGCTCAGTCCTTCAAATGTCAAAATCAGCTACAGGGAAAGCTGTTCATAGTAGGGCTATTCAGCTTTAATGTCACACTCTATCATGTTCTAGGAGAACGTTCATCTGTAGACACTGACAAGAACAAGATGAATGGGTCTTAACAAAACGTGTCTATCTGCTTGTAGATAAGGGGAATAAGAACCAATCAGCAAAGAGAAGGATTTTGGGGAGTTCAGCTAGCCTGGGCTAGATGCTTCTTGACCGAGGTTATGCTGAACTTCTCAACTTTTCAGGCTTAATGAGGGTTATACATATTAACTTCTACGCCCAGAGCGGGCTTAGAGCGAATTTTAATGGTCATACATTATATGTAACAAGGGGGAACACTTGTACCTCCCAAGTACCTCAGGCAATGGGGAAGGGGAGAGGGTGGTATGCAGCTGGGAAGTTGGGATAAAAGTGAGGCTGTATCCCCCATCAAACTGAGAAAGTTTTCATTGGGCATTGCCTTAACGACCTTTCTCCCTTTACCTGGATGAAGCTAGGAAAAAAGGTAAAACCACAAAGGCTCTTCTGTCTCCTTTGTGGACACAAACCTCCAGCGACGTGACTTTTCCTCACAACATCCTTCAGTACCTTGGCAGGTACTAAAGGCAGAGCCATTAGTTGACATTTTTTCACAGCGGACTTTCATAGCACTTTTCTTGCATTCAGACTTTGTGACTTGTTTTCTTAGGAAGTAGAAAAGCTGGCAGAGAAAAGGGCATCTGCCTTTCTGTATGTGGGACTTCAAGGACTGTGTTCGAGCTTGGTTTGGGAGCAAAAACCCTTAGTTTGGGTCATTTTGTTATGTGTGTAATACTAATTCTTTTGTTTATGAGCTGTACGTAAAATAGTATTGATCATCTGTTTATTGAAGCTTTCTTATAAAGAAGGAAGATTTATCAGGGCACCTGCTGCTGTTTTCTTCTGCTGAGCAGTGCCATTCTTGGTGTAGATTTGTCCAACTTGTAAAAAACTCTAGTGAAAGAGTCTTCCAAATGTTCTGTCTCACTGCTGTTTCCTCTTTAACTCAAAAACTCCCCCACAAACTGACATGAATTGATTTTGCTGCAAATTAAGTTGCCTTCCCCTCTGTCCTCCTCTAATCAGGGAACATGATGGTTCAGCATCTGGTTTGTACTCTGCTCACGCTGTCCTGAGTTCTGTTCCTGCTCTCTTCTGCTTTGGAGAAAAAAAAATCAAAACTGAACCTTTCAGTCTTATCTCCTAAATTATGTTTTCTAAATCATTAATCATTCCCATTGGTCTTCTGTAGAGCTGCGCCTGTTGCTCTCTAAGCAAGGCTGCATCATCCCCAAACCGGCAGAACAATTACCTTGTTTGTCTCTCGCTCCTCTTTCCCCAACTTCCTGCAGAACTTGTAGCTGCTACTTTCTTGGCAACAGCTCGTTGTATAGCTGCTCCTCGGTTTGTGGCTTTCTATGATTTCTGATTTTTTTTTTAGCCCTGTCAGCTACTCCTTACTGCAAAATTGCTTTCTCCTGCCTCAGAAGAATGCTTCTGACAATTTTATTGGATTGTATTTTTGTGTTGCTCTGCCAATTTGGAGAACTGGTGCAATTTTTTATACTCTAATTGTGTTTTTGAACATCCTTGTAACCATTCCTCCTTGGGTATAATCCACAGAGGGTCATTTTTCAGATGAGCAAATTGTTTAAAATGCTGAATAAAGCTGCTAACCTGACACGTTCCTGCAAAGCAGCAGCGTTTGCTGTCCTGCTCGGTGGTCAAGTGCTCTTTAAGACTTTTTTTTCAGATAGCTGATTAATTTGTATTTCCTCAAGCTGATTAGAAGGATGTTGCCTCATACATCAGGCCTGGCCTAAAGGGAAACTGGACTTGTTTGGTACAAGCTGTTCTTGATGGTTGGTAAAAACCCAAGGAAGGGATTAAAAAAACAAAATTGTTTACTTTGGTCCAGAGTTACTCTAGGTAGAAAAGCTGGGCAAATGGACCCATAATTCCTTGGATGCTTCCTTTCTGAGGACAACATGATGTTTGTCCTTCCATTTTTAAAGACTTCTCCTGTTTTCTACAGACCTCAAAGGAAACTGCCCACATTTCAGGTTGCATCAAGTGTTTAGATCGTTACATGCTGCAAGATTAATAAGGACCTGTCCACCTGAAGTCATCCACTTTAGCTGATTGTTCTCCAGCCTGTTTGTCTGAATGTATTTGCTTGGAGCTTGTTCTGATCTTTCCTATCTGGTCTTGAGCCTGCACTTCATCTTCCTTTAGCCTGCTGGGTATCCAAAGACTGTCTTCCAGTCTGTTTTGTCCCTGTCAGTCAAGACTTGGTGTAGCCTGTTGCCTTCATGCCCTCAGCCATGTCACAAGCCTCGGTTCAAGGCCCCATTCCCAGTGGGGTTGAGGGCTGGAAGGCAGAGAAAGGGCATGGCTTGGGGCAAATGAAAGTCACCAGCGCTCACTGAGATAATGACCACAGATTACAACAGACAGAACAGGCTCTACCCTTAACTGCCTGGCCAGGCTTTTCCTTTGTCCTCATTTCTCCACCAAACAAGTTCGTGGTGGGACTGAGAGGAGGCAGAGCCCTACTACTGTGGTCCTCAACCCATTTCCAACATGCAGCTTTCCCCTGCCCAGAGTGCTCTCAAAGGTGGTACAACGTCACTCCTAAATAGTTCACTACCTTTTTCCTATTTTTCTGTAGCAGTCACACAGCACAGTGGTGAAAGGCATGAGAAGCTGCAATTGGTGGCACATATTTTGACAGAACCTCGGCCATCTCCACATGACTGTGGAGAAGATTCTTGGAAAAGTGAAACAACTTTCAAGAAGCAAAAAGAAAATGGAAAGAAATGGAAAGAAACGATCCAAGATGTTAACATATATTAATTAATTTATTTATATTCTTTACTTTTCAGTGTTGCAACTAGTTCTACATCACATTAATTCAAAATCGATCTTTCTTTACATGATCTATGACTTAGCAACTATTATACACTCAAAAGTACCATTAGCTACACACAGTCTGCCTGCCTCTGCAATTAATGCTGGAAACATAAGAAACATGCAAATATAAGGTTTTAGAGTATGGTTCTTTGGTCAAGTACAAATTCTGCAGTTAAGGAATGTGCTTCCATAGTATTTTGCCCTCAGCAATGACAATACACAGCAGCAAGAAAGGCAATTCCTGTGACATTTTTCAGGAGTAAAGAGTCCGTATCTTGGCTTAACATGGCAAAACTAACAGGTGCTTTCTTTGCAGAGAGCACCTCTGCTCCAGTGTGACAGTGCTGGCTCGGCAGGGAGGAGGGAGACAGGCAGAGTGGAACTACACAGTAACACTGCAGCACTTCAACTGAACTTGATGGATTAAGTTCAGTGTTACTTAGATGGTGCCTCTGTGGATTGATCCAGAGTAGTAAAATTACAACTCTACTACAGGCATTGGATATTCTCCAGCTACACACAGAGAGCCTGTGCTTCTAACATTGGCACTCCATTCTGCAAGAGTAAACATCTCTCCTTCACAGCTTTTCAAACAACACTTGTGTAAAATAAAATTATAGCCTTTAACATTTTAAGTATGTTGTCTATATTCCACACCATTCTGATGTTCTTTTAGAGTTAGGAAGTCCTAACATATAGAGTGAAATGATTAATGCTATGTATTACAGGTGTACTAAGCAGTGCAATGCCACAAACAGCCTTTGCTGCATTTCTATGGCATGGGATGGATGGAGGTGGCTGGAACAACTCAACAGGGTGGCTCTGTGACAGCGTTAGCCACATCAGTCCTTCTGTACAAGGATAATTACTTTAAATTGCTTTGGGAAATAATGTTTTCATTAAAATTAGACTTCGACCTGAAGTATATCTAAATAAAAAAACACTGGCTGACACAGTCAGCATTGGCTCAGTTCAGAGCATGAAGTGCTGGTGCGTCTCCAGAGCAATGGTCTCTCAACTTCACATACCCATCAGCAACCCAACTACACAAATAACACTGCAAGCAACACCCTGCTCTTCTAGGGTTGATATGTTTTCATTTTGCCTTTTGTGGGTACTCTGAAAGGTATGAGTTGACAAACATTGCTCTAGAACTAATACTAAGGGTCCATACAAAATAGAAACATACAATACATAGTCACATTTAATTAAGTTTTACTCCCTATTCTCCTTAATACATTTTTAAACTGTAAACTATACTAGCAACAGAATACTTTTTTTCCTTTTCATTTTTTTTCAATTTGAAGTTGCCTGTGAACTTATATATAATAAAATCAGTAATGGGTCTCCTTCAAAGTACCATTAACTGAAAATAGGGCACAGACTTGAGGGCAAAGTCCACTGTCCTCAGGGCAGACAAGTAAGCTACTGGTTCACAGAGATAATCCCCAATCACCAACAGGCTGCTAAAATATGCCTAGAAGTTTTCCACAAAAGAATATGTCTGTTCCTATAAATTAACTCTGTGGGCTTTGGTCAATAATGGTACAATTGAACTGGCAAGCTTCCATAATGCAATTATTTCTTCTTAAAGAATTGAATGAGACCAGCATTTCAAAGGGAAAAGTAGTCAACTTCCAATAAACTCCTGCTTGAGAATAATTTCCAGTTCTGGATGAGAACTGAGGCTGTTTATCATGGGAGGAAAAAGTGCTACTTGATTCTGAACTCAGCAGGAGCCAGCTGCTACCTAGTACACAGGCAAAAAAGAATTTTACAGTGTCTTGCTCTGGTGGAAGTAGCAGCTTCTTGCAGGTGCTGAACTCCTTCATGTACTCAGAATACAGCTATAAGTGGTGTGACAAACTGTGCATGCTGCCATGTTTACCACTCCTTAAAGACAGTTTTTCTCTTGCAAAGCTAGTAGCAAGTTCCAGTAAAAAAAATTCGTTTTAACAAATATTTCACTACTTCTTGATTAATGAATAAAATACTTAAAAGTGTTTGGGTGCTATACTCGCTACCCAACACTATGTACAAAAGCAGACATATAAAAACATAGGAGCTGCCTTTGCTAAGGCAAAAAGAGCAAAGTAGTTTCTTGCATTACGGTACTAAAGGCACCATGTTTCAAGACTGAAAAATAAAGGCAACAATTGTCCTTGCCAGTTCCATGGATGACCACTACAACTGCCCCAAGAATCATAATTTTATATTTGTGCCTGCTAGTTCTAGAAAAGTGCAATGTGTATAGGGTGCGTTCAAGTTACAGAAATTTTATTTCCCTTCTTTTGAACAATATAAATTTGAAAAATAAGTTATTAAATTATACTGGATCCAGCACACCTGGTTCCTCTGTCTTGTAGATTTTGCTCAGAAAGACTTCCACCTTGTCATCGCCCAAGTGACAGATGTCCAAGATGCAGACAACATGTTTGCCATCGAGATCCTTTGCAGCTTTTACAATTTCATCTAGAAGTTAAGAAAGGGTGTTTTTAAAAGGTATTTACTGTATACTGCAATACACTACAATTGATACTGAATTGATACTGTTTGCCATACAGTAATGTATGTATGTTCAACCTTCTTTCAGTGAAAAATTTTATTAGTAAATTCAATCACTAGAAATGATAGCATCAGAATTAGATATGGAAAAGCTGATATATGGATTAATTAACCACTAGTGATCTCAGATTTCATAGTGTTATTGAAGGAAAAGTAATGATGTATTTAAATAAAATCAGGTCTGTATATTCTATATAACCATGCAGGAAAACACCATGTTTATCTAGCACTTTGCAGTATGACACACACCAGTAATGCTCATCATATTTGTTCTGATGTGCTAGTAATTAGAAGCATAATCTGAAGTAATTCAATAGGAGGCAAATACTTCAGCACATAGGCACTGTAGGTTGTGTTAAAACTGCTGTTCAAAGTGTCATCACTTAAATGAACTGACTGAGTTACTCCATTTTATTTCAAAGCACACACTGACTTCCATCTATACCAGTATAACTTTGCACCAACAAATAACTGCCAACACTAGCTAGGTCACTTAGGAGTTTGTGGTTTGGGTATTAAAATACTGTCTTCAGAGTATGAGAACAGCTCCAGTAAAAACTGCCTTGAAAGTTCAGAGTTACACCTATTTACAAAAGGTGGTGACATAGAATTCATGTCTCTTTCCCTGAAGAGGTGAGCAATGCTGACCCACACCAGAGATTTCTACAGAGAATTACCTCTTGCACTGAAAAATAAAACAAGAAATGATAAATGAATAATGCCAGTGAAAGTCAGTCTCACCTGAAAGAGAAAACATGTCACAAGGCCTCCCATTGCTAGTGGCCTTCTGCTGATGTGCAGAGATGCAGCTCATACAAGACAATAATGTGTCATTTTGAATCTCTTCCAGTTGAAATAAGTGGGGATCTTCAGGACAAAACAGAGGGAGAAATGCAACATCTATTGCTACATCGTGGTTTATACCTGTTGAAGAAAACTATTTAAGTTAGCAGAAAACTTCATGTTCAGCCCATTAGCAACTTCATGCACCATTTCTTTTTTTTTAAACACACTATTGCACTGATTTTTATTTACATATTCTTTGACCATTAATTAATGACTAACATCTAAAATATGTTTGTATTATACACAAGCACATTCAAATTGATATGATGTTATAACATACTATGGTTTAAGGGCAATAATGCTGTTAGCTCAGAAAATATTAAACCGACATTAGAAGCCATTTCATTCTCCTTTTAACTTTACCTGCAAGGGCAGAGAAATTAACTTTACAACCAGTGTATCTATGCAGTGTGCAGTACAGAGCTGCTTTCATCTTGAATATCAAATTGTCAGTCCCAGCATTCTAATGACTGTAAATATTCAAACACCTTCTCTGCAAATCTCCATAGCAAATAAGGGAAACTTTTAAATTATGGAAACTTAACATAAGCAATGTTAAGCAAGGCAATTTCCCTCTCCTTTTAATGGAAAGACAAAATCAAACAAATTAATAACCTACGATAATGGTAGCAAACAGATACACGTTGACTTGCCTATTTATATTTTAACAAATAAAGATGAATAAACAGACACTTTCTCTTAGCCAGAAGCAGCAGAGGGCAGTTAATGAGTATGGCTAAAATACAGCCCTTCCTTTTTTAACCCTGGAAGGGAGGCACTTTAAGAGCAACAGAAGAACCAACTCAATAAAGCTGAAAAGAAGCATTTACAGTTGTTCTTTTCCCTTAAAGAACACTAACTCATTTCTGATGAGCACCTCTCCAGTAGGAAAGTCGGCTGACAAGTGCAATTGAATAATCTACCTGATCATGTCAGAATGGTCGAACTACTGAACAGCACCTACTTCTAACTGAAATAATCAATAGATTAAGGGCTACACACATTCTTAAAATGACAAACATAAGCCTATACACAAAACTGAAATTATGTGAAAAGTGATACTAGAAACAAAATATTCAGTAACTTCACTGAAAGGTATTTCTAATGAGAATTACAGCTTTCTAGTAAAAAACTTACCCTAAATGAGGACCCTAACAAAAATGTGAAACATCAGTAATTTTTATACTCAGAATCCACTGACTGATTTAGAGAAATCCATTCAGTTTCTGACCAACTTATATACTGCTTTTGCTTAACCTTGTCTAGAAGACAAGTTACTTACCCAGAACTGTCACTTCATAGTGCCCAAGGCCACTAGCACTTTTAAACTCATCAATACTTTTTTCTGCTGTGGTTTCTTTTGGCTGGTGCACTGCTGCATGCAGGTTGTACTGTTGCATAAGTAAGTCTCTGTACACATAATCAAATTTACGCGGGATACTTTCAGGGAAAATTTTGCTGTGATGCAAATATTTCATTAATTTGTCTTTCACTTGTGTCCACAGGTCACTCTGCCAGGAATCACAAGTTCTTCTAGTCTCTTCAGTTTCAGGTATATCACTCATTCCTTCTCGGTCTGTTATAAGCACAGAAAATATTTAGTTGCTTATAGGCTTACATAATTGTATCACTTCTCTGCTAGATGAGAAATAATTGCCATTAGAACGTTTCAATTATGAAGACATGGAAGAATGCTGGAAACACAACACAAGGAATTAAACTAGAGTTGGAATGTCAGTAAATGGGTAACCTTAGAGGCCAGACTTATAGTAAAAAGACTTATTTCAGCACATGAAGAGCATCATCATGGCTTGTTTCTGGAGAGCACTCAACTTGTTCAACGAACAGCCAGAAACCATAAAAACAGGTTTCAAATGAGTACAAGTGAAACACAGAACTATTTACATTGGAAAAGAGATTATCTTACAGCCCAGACTGCAAAACTGTTCTTCTTTCTTCTACCAAAAATAGATACCAAGAAACTAACTGCATGGAACATGAGTTTATTTTTCAATTGCAGAGAAAGAAAGAAAAAATTAATACCAACTTTTTAAAAAAATCCTTAAATCAAACATTATTCTTATTACTGGCTTGCACATTTCACCCATTTCCTCCCCAAATCTTGTATCAGTCTAAAGTTAATATAACAACTACTTGCAATGTACCTGTGCAGTACTGCAAACTGGCTGATACAGCCTGTCCATTTTTATCTTGCACAATATCTCCATGTTGATATTCATCCAACCTAAAAAAACAAAGTTATAGTGTGTATACGTATATATGTATATATTTTTAAAACCCGTTTAACCTCAAACACAATGCAGGCAAAAGTTCAAACCTTAGATTTCTAGTGATAAAGGATACAAGCTCGAATGAATGAGCACTAGTACCGGCTTCATATCATGAGAGTTGTAATACAGCAGTTTGACACAACGACACCTACTCAGCTCAGGAAATCGGCTTTGCAGATCTCAGGACAAGCCCTGCAGGATTCCCGGGCTTTGGGAAGCTAATGGGGAACGATTTTACACTCAAAGCCCGGTGTCTGCTGCCCTCTCCCGGGCACCTGCAGGAAATATCACGTTTGACACGGCTCAACATCGCAGGTGACCTGATGCTAAAAAACGGTGCCCCAAGTGCTGCTGCACTGTCATCCCATCACCCTGCAGCAGTCATAAAGAAAGCACGAATGGAGCCGTCATCACTCCAGAATCCAAAATGATACTTTCCTGTGGACATACTGCCCTGTTACAAAAACCAGTTCAATGAAGCAAACTAGATTTTTGTTATACTTTCTTTTCTTTCTTTAACCATGATGTTTTGAATTAATGGTAAGAAACTATTCTTTGTCAATCTCTAATGAATTACCCAAGATATCAGGAAGGCGAGAAATTTATCAGATACTCTGCAACCAAACATGGTAAAATAAGCTCCTAGGCCCATTTATTCCTGTCTTCTTTGATCCATTCTTCTTATTATAATATGAAAACTCACCAGGATATCTGAACAAACTTAGGAAAAGGACTATCTTGATTATCTTGTGTCACAAACAACTGCAACACGAGTAAGACTGCATTAAGGTACCATTAAAATTCCAGACTGCTAAACTAGTTACTAATGAAAGACTGTAACTGCAAATACACAGGGACAATATAGAGACAGTAAAAAAGGAATCAAAGATGAACATGCTGTTTAGTGGCACATTCTGTATGTCGTAAAGATTTACAGGGTTTATTTCAATTTCTCTTATTTCATACTAGAATGTATCTTGAAAACTTCATGTCAATGTTTCTTAACATATAGAATTATCGAAATATCTAGTGAAAAGATAAAAGGAAATACACTGTGGGTTTTGAGTACAAAAGTACATTTTATGAAATGTTCTATCACTGAAGTGACCTTCTCATGATCTCCAACTCTAGGCACAGAAGAATCCTCACTTAAGTAGCACAAACTATGCAATTACTGCCCACAAAATTAATTTTCACTTTTGAGATTTGGACTTCTCAAAAAGAGACATGAAACCCCAGCACAGTGTTAGGAAAGGTGTGCTCAGAAACCAGTATGTCAAGTCAGACATGTGCCAACTTCCCTCTTCATTACAGCAGAGGATTAAACCAAGTCATACTGCTGACGGGTGGATATTATGGAAATGGTTTTTTCCTTTTAGGACTGTCTAGTTTTGGAAGTGAATAGGCTCTGATTCAGAGCTAGTAAAGCCTCTGAATAATATGAAAATAACTTGTCATGATTTTTTCCCCACTTCTTTCTCAGATCTGTAGCTGGGATTATTTCTCCTACCTGCCTGACATATCATTCCTACAGGACTGCTTTGTGTTAGATGAGAGCACAGCCTAACTTGAGCCAGGCTTGGAAGGGAAACCTACAGGTCTATACACACAATCTATTTGCTTATTTGCCAGCCAGTACATCTGCAAGGCACCTGATATAACCCAAATCCTTCCATTTACTGCAATATGCTTTGGCTGTTGTACACCCACATCCTATTTCGCCCACACCAGCTTTAGGAGAACTTGTGCCATGCCACATTTGCTGTTCCCAGCCTGCATTCTGCAGTCCCACCTTGTCACAGATGCCCACTTGCAAAAAAAAGGCCATTATACACTATTTCTAGACACAGGTATTCATTCACCTTCTCAGTCATTTTACTTTAAAGTATTGTCAATGAAAATAATGTCAATCAAAATAGATGGCAGATCAATACTTTTAGAAAATATTGGGAAAATAAGCATGTCTCGTGTTTCACACATATTTCCTTAAGCACTGGGACTGTGATAAAATTCAGAAAGAAAACAGTTGCATCTTGAAGCTATGCTCAAACAATGCAAGGAATTGAAGTGACTCAAAAAAACAAAACGCCTCACTCACTGATATGACAGGTAAAACTTGTTTTATAGACTGGTTTGAAGTCAACTTAACTGTCCTGCCACCATTATGGTAAACAAAGCTATCACAGCAAGTAACAGAGAAACCAAACAGCCTTCTGTGATAACTTGACAAGTCTACACAGACTGATTATTGGTACCTACCAATTTCTCCCTGAAAAATTCTAATTTATGTGAAAAAGGCCTCCAAAGGAAACATCATATTCTAGGAAACTTTCAGTCATGCACACTTCAAGTTGAATTTCCCCATATTATAGAATTTCCATCCCTTAGCTCTCATCAGAGGGGAAGAAAAAAGAGAAAAGGGTTTAGGTTACATAAACATTTAGAAGTGAAACTGCAAGGATAGAATCAATCAAACAAGTTACTTTCAAGCAGTGTGGAGTGGGAGCAGGCAGTGCACCAGCAATTCCACAGTAACATGCTAAACTCACAAACATTGAAATGCTATGAAAACTACTGTGGGTTTTTTTTCACTTCCACATAAAAATAAGCCTTTCTGAAATTCCCAATCTTTTCCCATTCACAATGGCTTCATTCACTATAAATTAAACTACTTTGGGGTATATTAAATGCTTAAAAGTACCTTTATGTGGAAGATCTTTACTAGCAAGGCTATAAATATTAACAAAACTATTAACCAGTTTCCTTGTTCTTTCTGAAACCCTTAATAATCAGGTAAGTTACCAAAGAAATGCAGGAACTGAGGCTGTCAATAAAAAAACCTCAGTATAAGTTTTTACTGCTTAAAAAAGAAATTAAAAATGCAACCACATGCTGAGAACAAAACAGAAAAAACCTTGATGCAAAATAGTCTAAGCTAGAATATGTACTTCAAAATGTATCTCTAGTGTTGGACTTGATGATTCTTGTGAGTCCCTTCCAACTCAGAATATTCTGTGCAATCTGTGAAGTTTATTAAAACTAGTGTTGTTATTTCATTAACATATGAAAATATTTCAGTGAGAGCTTACATTCTGCTGCATCTAAGCAACAGAACAGAAAACAATGCAATTTTAAGGTAAGTCAGCTAACTTTCTATTTTTCTTTTGCAATTTGGAGAATTCAGCACAACTTCATAGTTAGTTACAGAAATACACAAGTTACCTTTTAATTATATAGAGTGAAACAGCTTTCCATAATCCAACACAGACTTTCTCCTCCTTTAGCTGGGGTTCTAGCATTAATGGCACAGAGAGGACACACAGGTAGCAAGGAGAGTAGCAGATTGAGAAAAGCAGAGAACAAAGTAAACATGCCTTAACTTTCTGCTTCACCTACAAGAAATGGGGAGAAAACATTCTTCCCACCCTCCACCCCCAAGAAAAAAGGGAACATTCCTCAGCAAGCAAAAGAAAACAGGATTCTTCACAGTCAAGAAAAACCTCCTGATTTTCCTATGTATTTGTGCCACAAGTCCCTGCAAACTCCTGCACCACCTGCAGAGATGGGACCCTAAAGCCAGGTGATGCTTTTAAATGAACCAGCTTCAAAGACAGGCAACCATTTCCCCTACAAAATGCAGTTTCTACCAAGAGGACCAGGAAACAACAGACACATGGGCTAAAAAGAGACTAATTTACTCCACAGAGAAACTTCCGCAAATTAGTTCCCAAGGAAAGGGGCATGCTTTGTAGGGGGGGTAATACTGGCAGAATGGTCAACAACTTTAGCATTGTTGCTCTATCCCTAGCACCATGATTCTTTTGTTTTAGGGGAAGGAAGAGATGCTAAAAAGTAAACTAAAAAGGCAACTGAGCTGTAAACATACTCATGACACACACCCAAATCACCACTGCCAAAATATATAAACCTCTTAAGTGACTGACACCAAAGTGTTCAAACACTCAAGTTGCCCACACTGTGTTTGGAACAAATTACAAGAATTTATGACCCTTAAACAATATGTCCAAAGAAAAGTAACTGTTTACCCCAGACTAGCAAAAAATAAAAAACACTCATTCAGTTTTCTTAATAATTTTACATTTGTGGTTATTTCAATAGGTTCTAGACTTGTCAGGGCTTGGATTTGAAATTACTACCTGGATTTCAAAAAACCTCACCTTCTCTGGATCCAACAGTTCAGTAACAACTGAGTGTTGGGGAAGGGAAGGAGCCAAGTGGCTTCTCAGGGACTATACTTACCCCTCTGTAGCATCAAGGATAATGTATGGCTCAGCCACCACTAGCAAATCCATTAATGCTATTACATTTTCACTATTTGCTAATTAAGCATCCCTCCCTCCTACTTTTGACTTCCCCACTTAAACTGTAATACCTCTGAAACAAAAACTACATATAGTACGCTATGATGGACCTCTGTAACTATATATTCCCTTACTACCACTAGTAGCAATATAAAAAGATGTTTAATAACATACTCAAAAGTTTGTTTCACAATAGTTCAATATATTTGAAGTAGAACCAGTGCAGAGGAATGAACAGAAAATTAATATTAAGCTCTACTCTGATCTGTTCTTTCATTTCACTTCCACACTGATTCCTGACCCGTAAAATTTTCACTTCAAGTATCTTTGTTTCAATATTGCAATTATTCAACATAATTAATTCACATGACTTACCCCAATTTTCTTCTTGCAGATCGTGTAAAATAGGGGCAAGATGATACAGGAATAACAGATGTACTTCCCCTTAAAGTAGGAAATTCACCATTATTTTACAGTATTTATTTAAATGGAAATACACAAAGCAAGGAACATTCACGTTTTCCTTTCAGGCAGAACTAAATTAAGACACTCAAATGCTGGAATTTTTCATACACAACAGAATCCACTAACAAGTTTGCTGTAACACTGCCAAGATGGAACTTCTATTCACTAGGGTTTTCTTAATCCTAAATTTTGATTCAATCCCAACTATATTTCATCTCATTTTTCCTCAACGTATTCTAAATACCCAACCTCTTCACACATTATGACTTACGGATGTGAAAAGTCAAGAATAAAAATATACCATTTACAACGTGAGAAATCCACTGCAGAAAAAATAGATGTGACTGGCCTGACTCTTGCAACATTCCATCTGTCAGTGTAACACCAGGCTTTCAACAGGAAGTATGGGTACACTAGATTTTACACAAACACTGCAACAAAGGGCAACCTTATGCAAGTAGTTATTTTACTCTTGAATCTGATATAGTTGTATCAGACAAATTGTCTCATTCCATTTCCTTATACTGGACTGATATCCTTTGTCTATGTCTGACTAGATGGGATACAACTGGATGAAATCCCAGCAGAAGCAGAGCCATAGTACTACAAGTTATTTTGAGCCTTTAGGTTAGCACATGATCACCATCTACTTGCCCTTCTTACAGCAAGTTACAGCTACATGCTGACAAAGAAAAAATAAGGTATGTTTGAAATTCTGCATTTTCAGTGAAGAAATCTTATTTCCTCACACCACTAACTGCTGTTTGTTCCATGGCTATGTTACTAAACTACATATGGTTCAAGTATTAACAACTTTTATTTCAAATCTGTGGCCTTAACAACAAAGTACTACAATATTAATCAGAAGAAAGCACTGCAAACCTGCTTTAATCAATCCCTCATTACAATTAATAGTATAACTGTCATCACCTGACGCCAGTAAAAGTTTGTAACTCCACTTTAAAGATTAAACTATGTATGCTTTTAAAGCTTTCTTATATAATTGCTGTGGCCTGGGCTCTGAACTAATTTCTGTAAAGACTTTTTAGAAGATCCACTACGTATTTATGGAGAGAGCTTACTGTTCTGCATCTCTATTTAATCTGCGTATCTTTCTCTTGACTGAACCCTCCTTTGGCAGCAGAGCTTGGTGCTGATGTTGTTCCCCAGTAGAGCAATGTGGACCCAGAAAAGACTTAACTTCTTCATTTTGAAGGCTGGTATTTTTTCCCTTGTCAACACAGTCTTCTTTGGAAACAGCAGAACTTTCAAGAGACTGAGAAGAGTCCTTCTGCAACAACAGTTAATTGTTTAAGATTTTCATGCACTTAAAGCTATTGCTCGCAACTCAAAAACCTGCAAGTTTCAAAGTAACTTTCAAAGGAACAGCACAATTTACCCTACTTTCTGAAAGTCATCTTTTATCTAGCAAAAATTATTTTCAAATCATATTAATAAGATAAATTCTGTCTCGGAAGTGACAGTGAGAGTGTTGCAGTAGTTGTCTCTCTCACATGCTACTTTACATTAAGTTATCCAGTCAAACTAGCAATGTCTAAACAGAAGTTTTACAAAGGACTGCCAGAATACTTTCAGAAAAGCACCGAATCATTGCTTTTTAAAATTTTGCTCTCAAAAAGCAAATTAAGTTAACCAAGAGACAATGTAATTAAGCTCTGAACTCAATTGCAAAATTCTCCATTCTAATTACAATCACAGCCACTCAAGTGCTGTAGCATTAACTCTCACACACTGTACCTGAACAAGTTCCACTCCTGAAACTTCTTCAGCTGTGCTGCTACAGCTGATGTATTTTATGGCACAAATTATTCCCTGAACAGCAACGCGCTTGTGTTCTCTGTAGTGCAAATCTTCAATCTCTTTCCCTGTTTCACTTATGGTCTTCAAAACTGATTCAACTGCAAAAAAGAAATTTCCACAAACAAATTTTAAAGAAACAGAATACTAAAATCTCTGAATGCAAGTTAAAAAAAAAAATTAATTTGTTAATAAATATTAAATTGATTTAAACTTATGTTTTTGAAGAATTTTAAATCTTTTTCTTGTCCACATCACAGGGGAAAAAATTTAAACAATAAACCTTTTTAGCTCACGTGAATCCCTTAGTATGCATTATCAGATATCACAATTCATGTTTCAGGTGAAGTTTCTAATTCACTGTTTCATCCAGAATGACTATTTTTAATACTGATTTAACAGAATATTCAGAATAAAACTTCTGGGCACATCTGTAGCTCATGTAAACTTCTACAGTTCTCCTGAGCTAATAGTGCTGTAATACTTTTTGTAAGATAAGGATTTAACCCGTGAAACATTTAGTCACGTAAGGGAGTTTTCCCTGGAGTAAGACTGAACTGAAAATTTTACAGATATTTGATGCATGATACCTTTATTGCTTTTACAATAATCTGAAAAGTTATCTGGAGGTCGTGGAAAAGGGTAATAGCCACCAATGACAGTTTTCTTCATTTGATCAGCTTCACTTTGTGATTTCATCCATTGAATGAAATTTTTCACTTTGGTGTCCTTAGTGTATGGCTGACCCTTGTGCCACCCTTTTAAAAGAAAAATAATCAGGTATCAAAACCAAAGCAGGTTACTGTAATCTGTTCTTATCTTGAAACTTCCCAGAACACTACACAGAAAAACAAATTAAGAAAATCTTGACTAGAGAGTACAAAAGATGTCTTTGCACTAGTCCACAGTGTTTTATCAAAACGAGTATCCTGAATTCCTTAATTACACTTGCATTTGACACTGAAAGTCAAACAAATATGAAGTAACTGAAGGAAATAAAACAACTAGCAAAAAATCTACTAGAATACTTTCTCACAGGAGCACACAAAACAATAAAATGATCAGAAATTGTTTTATTAGCAGGAAAGAGCAGGTAGGTCTTCTCTGTAGGGTTCAGCAAAGACTGTTACTGACAAGTAATTGGCAAAGAATGTATTCATTGTTGGCTGGTTTAAAAAGTAAGGTATGGATTAAATACCAGTTTTATCAAGTAAATTGTAATCTGAGCAGGGCTTCATCCAGCCTGTTAATTAAAATAGACCTTATGCAGTGGTTTGCTATCTCCAGCTGTAGTCCTCATTTAGGACCCATACAGATATAAAATGAACTAAAGCTAGAGTGGGGGAAAGCTTAAGTATTTAATTGGAAATTAAGCACAAATTATACTGAAGGAAAGCAAAGGAAAAAAACCAACTTCTCAAACCCTTTATTTAGGAGGAAATTAAATCATCAGAAATCTATAAACAAAACAACTAGTTTACTTTGCTAGTCCAATTGAGCACAAAACACCCTACCCGGCCTGTCAGAAAAGATCGTGTGTACAGAACTGGGTATGATCAGGTACTCTTTTTTGTACATATTTTTCTCTATTCCTACTTGCCAGCAGAAGGATTCAGGTTGGGTGACTGATATGTTAGGAACACTGAAGAAATGAGCTGGATTAACAAAACCAGGAAAGATACTCCTGCTGCACCTTATACTGCCTTGCAATTCAGTTAGTACATCACCCGCCTGCAACACTGCAAAAATCTGCCTCCGGATTCAAGAGCAAAGACACAATTTAAGACACCTATACCCTTTTTTTTTTTAAATTAAAAAATACCCTTTCCAAAGAAATAAGATGACAACTACATACTAGCCCAGCAGAATTCGTTTTAGTTACCTGTAATGAATATTTGACTTTCATTTGAAGTCGTGAGGTAAATTGTGCTGGAAGGATTCTCAGTGAGGTCCCGGACTACTCTCATCTGTGTGCACACCAAGTATGTCACTGGAGGAAAGAAACACCTTCATTCTTTTCCCGATAGTTCATTGATTTTAGAATGTCAAAACTGACATACACTGTATTAATTTTATTAAGTGGTCTAAACGAGACAATTTAGTTTTTGATCCTACAAATGCTTCAGCATGTTTTGAGTCTCCATTATAAATTATAATATGGAGATGTAATTAAATATTCAATTTAATTTCAGCATACATATTAGGACTAAAAATAAGACACTTCATCAGGCAGGATATCAAAGAAACAAATAGTATGAGTACGGGTATTAGATGGCTGTGTTTCTTAAGGATAAAAAGCATAAAATCACGAGAAATCATGACATGTCACTGCAAAACTTCTAAATAGAGCACAAACTCACTCTTTTGTTAATATCTCAGTTAAACACTGGAATGTCATTCTTTGCCATTCCCCCAGAACACTCAAGATGAATGCAGCCATAATCTTAACAGGGTTGTGCAGCTGATCCTGCATCATATGATATAAAAAATGCACATGACAGCAACCAACCAGTGTTAAAGGAAGGATGACTGCTTGGAGGAGAAGAGAAAGAAGGCAAGAAGAAAAATGTAAAGCTCTTTTAAAATCCTTAATTAAGGATTCCCAGTTTGAAATCTATTATTCTTAGCTCACGTGCAATAAATAACACAGCTGGGTGTTGACTGATATTTGGACAAAAATATTGACTCAAAGAAATTAAGCTTTTCCACTTTCACCTCTCCCTTCATTCAATCCTCTTAAATGATTCCTGTCTATAAAAAAGCCAGATATTTATAGGACAAAAGGAATAACAGATTTGACCAGCTGCTGTCTTTCATTGCCTCTGATGTAGGAGATGTGGCCCCAGGTGCTTCACTTAAGTTTCTGTCTGAAATTACTGAGACCAGGTGAACTCCACCTATCCATCTAATTGTTCACTGTCTAACTGACACTGCAATATGATAAGGGTTTCAAATATTTAAACCATTTTTTATTTTTATCTGTTATTTATCTGTTTAAGGAGATAAACCTCAAAGAGGCATTTTTTTATTCAGTGGCAACTATGCTCAGAATTTCAAATTAGCAACGAACTAGAAAAACACTGTAAGTAATTATTAGTAAGTATTATAGAGAGATGAATACTTGGGTGAATACGCTCAAACACGTCTGGCTGAGAAGTTGCAAATAATTCCAGTATGAAGGGTTGGTCTGAGGTCCCATCAATGGCATGTGCCCAACGATAGAGCCAGAAGTCTTCACAGTGTTCTGTATAAACAAACATCAAGAAAAATGTATAAGCATTTATTCAGAAATATAAAAATAATTTGATAAATTCTGAAAATCATATTTTATAGAAAAACCTCTTTTTCTGGCTCGTTCAGCCCTTCCTACAAATGTCACAAGACCAATAACATCACAGGAATAATTGTGCGGTAAGTCATCCAGTTCTGACCTAAAACCAAAACAGAAGAAATATGTGGGTAAGTTTCTCAGAAACTCTGCAAAAAACATTTCCAATTAACATTCACTGTAATGCAGTGTAATTTAAGTTCCAGCTTGATAATCAACAAAATTCTGTTTTACCTTGTGATAAACCGATATTTAACTTCAGGTAATCCCCATTCTGGCTTAACCATTTCTTCTGGAATAATGCTTATTTTAGTAGGAGGATTTCGATCATTAAGGCTAATTTCTGACAAAGAAAAAAAAGGTAACATTTAAGGCATGAATATAAACCAGCATCATCATCAATAACAACAACAGGTGCTACAGAATAGACACAAGACCTTCTGTTTTCCTTCATGGCCATGGTGTATTTATATCACGTTAATAATTACTTGAACTGGCATCGGGTATGGAAGTTCTCATCTGCTAGTTCTGTTTTAGTTTATTGTCTGCACATCAATTTTAGACCTTACTGGTATTTGGCAATAGAGCTAGTGTAGAAAGTACTTTGTATCTAATCAGTACTGTGGTATTAATTGCTGTTAAAATATCTGGCAGGATTGGACTTGTTAGCTCATGTAGGGAATTGGAAAGTTTAAATTACTCAGATTATAAAACTGCTTTGTTGAATTCTGTACCCAAATTCCTTACTTTATTTTGATGAAAACCTGAAGTCACAGGAATTGATTAATAATTTAACTAACAGTGAGATGAAGCTGGAATCCTTAAGAAACTTTATCCTGGTTTCTTTATGGGTTGGTTTTTATTATTATTATTATTATTGTTCTTGTTATGAGACCATATAGTACCACCTGGTGTTTTCTAGATGGTGAAGCCATTCTCTCTGTATTATTTATTCTGGTTGCTTGGGTTTGGGTAAGGGATTATTCAAATAATGTACCCAGAAAAGTAATTAAATAAGTATAAATAATGTATACAATTGTTTATATAACTGTATCTGGCCCCTCACCCTAGCAGAGCAAAATTAGGAAGGTGCTATACTTGAAGTCAGCCCCTCTACTTAGGAATATTCTTTTGGCTGCTGCTTTATAGAAATATATTTGGAGGACAATTGTGGATTTGAATATGGTGTTTTAAGACAATACCTCAGAGAAAACTGTGCAACCCAAAACTTTCTCACGCACTACTCATCAATTGTTTCCTAATTCTGAGATTAGATGAAAGTCATATACTCAAGGCAGGACTACACCCTGGGATGAGTCAGGAGGTAAGATCAGGCTTTTGTCAGTGCCACACAAATGCAGTGATCTGTGAAATGTAAACATTGCCTGGCAGAGGAATTCAACGTGGTGGTACCAACTATTTAAGCTCCAAAAGTTTTAGGTCCTGAAACAGCACCTCTCTGCATGTCTTACAATGCTGCAGCTGCAAACAGAGGCACACAATGCAGAACTCACTCCAGAGCAGGGTAGGGATTGCAGCAGCACACTGCCTTGCAAGCACTCTTAGCGTGGAAAGCCCTTTCCCTCGTGGACTTGTTAACTCTCCAGGTACATTGCACAATGTTTACAGGTGAATGGTCGTTAGGAAACACTGGACAGTTGGGGTTCGATGGAATTATAAATTGGAAATAAATTATGAAAAAGGTAACAAGAAAACTTAAGCAATTCGGTGTAACTGAAACCTGAAATATTGCCCCATATTGGGCATATACAGAGACAATTAATGAGGTATTAAGTTTCACTTGATCTGAACACAAACTGTCCTCACCTTCCCTGACAAACTTCCATTCTTGGCTAAACGTTTTTCTCTCCTGCCAACTCATCACAAATTCTTCAAATGTTAAGATCTTGTTTTAATGCAGATATACATCAGGCAGAGAATACACTGCGTCTAGCAGTGAAAATATTGTTTATTTTTGTGCACTGTAGCAAGTGCATTAGGAAACTGTCATGGTTAATAGGTTATACATACATCATCCTTCACTAACATGCATATTCGCTTGGTTCAAGGAAGTTATTTGAATTTTCTGAGTGCTGGCTGTCATTTTGTTCTGAGTATAAAAGCACAAAAAGGGAAGGAATTCATGTTCAGTGAAGTAGGAGAGAAAAAACACCAAAGTTGACCAAATCCAGTTTGAAAAGACCATTACTGTTATATTGCAGTACTTGTATTTCTGTAGTGTAGCTCCTTTGAGTATCTGCCACACTAAACAACTGCAAGTAAGAAAATGCTTTTTCATAGCCAAGAAACATTCTTCATACACACACTCCCATGGTGATGCTCTTTCAGCACACAGCAGTCATCAGTGCAACTTTTTATTCAGTGGAGCTGTGCAGTTACTCTAGGCCTTGGGAATAGACACTAAAACCTAAAGTCAGATCAGGTGATAATGTGCTTCAATGGCCTGGAAGAAGGTGTGAGCAGTGCACAAATAATATGTGTATTATTAATCAGGAAGTAGAATTAGATTAAAGTTCAGTACCAGAGACTTGTGTTTATAATGCCACTTGCTGATATCAGAGACTTTTATTTATTTTTAAAATAAATATTTTAACTAATTGTGGCAGTAAACTTTGCAGACGTGATCCAAATATAAAGAGGGAACTATAAGAACCTGGACATTAACACACCTTTCAGAGGTGGAACTATACCTTATCCATTGGTCTCAGCAATTGATAATTTTCTATTTTATTTCTAGGAAGAACTATCTTTCCACAGCCAAAATAAGTTTCTGTAATACTTAACCAATTGTAGCAAATCTCTTCATCTGTGAATCCCCCGGTGTTGGCTGTGTTTTAAACGGGTAACTGTCTTTGATGGCGTACTGTTCGAGGAGAAGGACTGTGCCAACCTTCATGCTGTTATACCACTCAGGACACAGTGAACTCCACAAAACCATTGACGTCATGCCTGAACCATCAGCAACTTCAAAATAAGCCTGGGGGAAAAAAAGAGATAATATTTATTCATTTTTTATTTATCATCATTCTGGTATGTGTTTATTTTGGGTAATGAACAATTTCTCTGATGATTACAATGGATATAGAGTATGTTCCAGAACTTGTATTGAATACTACAGTGGAAAAAAATCCCCACTTTCCGCAAAGAATTCTTCCACAATTACCTCAGCCCAAACTCTCATCCTCCCAGTGCTCAGTAATGGTAGGATGACGCCAGTTTCACTCTATGGCTTTTGGAGGAGGTCGGGGAAATCCCAACCACAAGAACCAGCACGGAAAAGATTCTTCTTTATTGCAGAGAATGCTGTATTTAGAGTAACATTTCTAAATATCCATGAAGGAAAAATGTATTTTGGAAGCTGAGAAGCTACAGGGATATTCACTAAACATTCCTGATCAAAAAACTATACAAGTCTGGTTTCCCAGCAAAAAAAATAATGCAGAGAACAATGTACTTTGCAAACCACTATGTTGTCATTGAAGTTTTTCTCACTACAAAGTTTGCTATATTTTTTTTTCAAACTGGGCAAACACTGAATCCATAACTGAGTAGATCACTGAGCAGTAAAAAAGATTTTTAAAAGGTCTTAGAATGATCTTACAACGTAGCAATCCACTGAAAAGAAAACCTCAACTAAAATATATTAGGAAAGTAATTAAGAATTTTACAATAAAATAATCTATCTGGAAGTTACCTAAAATTTGCTAAAATGTATTGCCTATTTTTTTTTTGACAAGACACTCCAACTTCCAAAGCATAAAGAACAGAAACATTTAGGCTAGTCAACTACTAAAACCTCCAAATATCTGTATTTCTTCACAAAAAGCTCAACTGAACAATACTAAGTGAAACACATCCACCAGTTTGTACATATGACCACTAAATGCAGCATTTCCTACTCTAAAGGGCTCAGCATTTTTTCAAGGCAGCAAATTTTTTTATATTTTTCAATATAAAATAGCTACAACATAAATCTTAACTTTATGAGCTTGTTACATGGGAAAAATTATTTTCAAATATCCTACACCTATATGTTTGAGTGTTAACCTATGTATTTATGCCTCTTTACCTGATAAGGCATATCCATTGCTTTCTCTGGTTTTCCGTAGTACCTTAGTCTAGATTTGTGCAGGATTCTCACAAGGAGTGGATGGAAGCGCACTCTGCTTCTCCATGTCATTTCCAGATGACCAAGATTAGTCAGCTTGGAGACTAAGGTCAAGGGGGGGGAGGAGAGGTGGGGGGAAAGATTAGAAAAGAGCATTCATGATTGAACATTCAAGTTTTCAGGAGTAAAGTTTTCAGACCAGGATGTCATATGTATTTTCAGAATGTTTCTAACATCTAAAAAGGCTCATTTGTTGATGACATTCACCATTAAATCCTGTTATGAGCCATCTGCACACAGCATAGCTTTGCTTTGTATTTTTAATTGAAAGAGAGTGATGACATATTTAAAATGACACAGAAGTGTTGTCACATGACCAGAAGAGCTACTACAAAAAACAGGCATTAGCCAACACAGGCACCACACACTTGTGCAGAAGTCCTGCTTGCACCTCCCTCCTCACCAGGCTTCATGGAATGGCCCAAGCCCCTCAACACTGAGCACATTTTGGGTGCCAGCTGCTGGATCTGAGCACCCTGTCTCATAGACCAGACATGAGATTACTACTGGACTGGTTGTTTTTGACACTTCAGAAGACTGGGCACAAGCACCACAGCTATGGGTTATCAGTCAATGTTTCGTAGAGTTTAAAAAAAACCTCTCAAAGTAACAGAGTCACAAAACGGGTTAGGTTGGAAGGTATCATCTCCCAGCCATGGGCTGGGACACCTTCCACTAGACCAGGTTGCTCCAAGTCCAGTCCAGCCTGGTTTTGAACACTTCCAGGGATGGGGTATCCACAACTTGGCAACTCTGGGCAACTTGTGCCAGTGCCCCACCATCCTCACAGGGAAGAGTTTTTTCCCGCTACCGAATGTTACGTGAACAAGTGAACTGTGATACAGGTGGCACACTTTGGCAGTGCCAAACACAACTGGAGGGTCACCAGGGATCTCAGCCCTGCTGCACGAGCCATCACAGAATCAATGAGGTGGGAAAACACCTGTTGGATCACTGAGTCCAACCTATGACCCAACACCACCGTGTCAACTAGATCATGGCACTGAATGCCACGTCCAGTCTTTCCTTAAACACCTCCAGGGACAGTGACTCCGCCACCTCCCTGGGCAGCCCATTCCAACGTCTCATCACCCTTACTGTGAACAAATTTTCCCTAACGTCTGACCTGAACCTCCCCTTAAGACTATGTCCCTTCGCCCTATTGTCTGGGACAAGAGCCCGACTCCCTCCTGGCTACAACCTCCTGTCAGGGAGTTGAAGACAGCACTAAGGTCTCCCCTGAGCCTCCTCCAGGCTAAACACCCCCACCTCCTCAAAGGACATGTGCTCCGGACCCCTCCCCAGCTCCGCTGCCCATCGCAAACCACCGCGCCGCCTCCCCACTGCGGGTTCCCCAGGAGAGGGCACCTCCCGCCTTCTCCCCTCTTACCGTCCACATCCACCTGCGCCGGGGGTCTGTCGGGCATCCACACGTCTCCATAGGGATCCTCGTTGTTCCAGAGCGGCAGGTAGTGCCTGTTCTCGCCGCGGAGGGGCTGGAGCGGGCGGGTGCCGTCGGGCGGGGTCCCCGCGGTGGCGGCGGTGTCTCCCGGCCCCCCCGCCCGCTCCAGCCCCTCCAGGCAGAGGAACCCGCGGTTCAGCCGCTTCTCGTCGTAGCGGTACGAGCAGCGCGTGAGGCGCAGGCGCGCGCCCGCCCGCAGGCGCGCGCGCTGCACGAGCCCGTTGAGGCGCGGCGCGAGGTGGCAGCGCTGCCGGCGCGCGCCGTCCGCGAGCGTCACGTCGTACCAGTACTGAGGGGCCGGGGGGGCGGCCGGGGGCGGAGGGGCCTGCGCCAGGTACCGCTCCACCGCCACCACCGTCACCGCCGGCGGCTCCGCGGGCGCCACGCTCAGCTGCGAGGAGCCCCGCACCTCCTCGAACACCTTCTGCAGCCAGGAGGCCCCGCCGCCGCCGCCCTCCGCCGCCGCCGCCCGGCTCTCCTCGGCGCGCTCCGGGGTAGGGTCCTGCATGACAGCGTCCTGGCGGCCGCTGCAAGGCGAGAGCCGCGGCCCGGGGCGCTGCCGGGGCGGCGGCGGGGGGCGGCAGAGACGGCGGCGGCCGCGGCGGCGGGTTCCTGCTGTCATAGGCCGAGCCGGGGCTCCGCCGCCATGGCGCGCGCGGGGCGGGGCCGCTGTGCGCGCGCGCCCTTCAAACCTCCAACGGCCGCCAACGGCGGGGGCGGGGCCGGGGCCTGGGGGGGAGTGGGACGGACCGGACCGGACCGACACCGGGACGGGAACGGAAACGGGGATGGAAACGGGAATAGAAGCGGGAACGGGAGAGCGGCTGCGCTCGCGTGCAGGGACGAAGTGGAGGCCCTGCGATGAGCGGCGGGAGAAGGGCGTGAGGGGGTTCCCGGTACCCGGCGGGCGTTTCTCCGATGGCCTGGAGGCCGCGGCTGCTCCGGTGCTGGCCCGCTGCCCGCCCTGGTCTGCGCCTTGTGGCGGTGCCCGGGAGCTTGCGGGTGCCGGGGAGGGGACGCCCCCCGCTCCCCGTTGGTAGGACAGGGGTGCCGCGCCTGGCGGCCTCCTGGGCAGCGCCTTGGTCCCAGCGTCCCTTAGGGACTTTCTGCTGCACCTGTTCCCGATTCCGTTTAAGTGGATGCACGATACTCGTCATAGCTTCCACCTCACCATCCGAGCGTGTTCCTAGTTGGAACGGAAGAGTCTCGTGCTAGCTCCTGAGACTGTATTTACCTTTTATATAGTTACAGTGTCTGGGTAATCGTCATCAACCTGCCATTAGAACACTGTTGAGTCTTTTTTCTTGGTTGTTTTCATCTTTAGAAGAAATTCTTAGTGGACCCTAAGTCTGTGACCTTATTTATATAATAATTGATTCTTGTCCCACTGCAACTATCAAGATCATCCTATTATTTATTGTACTATAAAATCACAGAATGGTTTGGGTTGGAAGGGACCTTTAAGACCATCTAGTTCTAACCACCTTTCCATGGGCAGGGAAACCTTCCACTAGGCCACTTATGATATTAATGAAGCTTCTGGAAATTAAGAACTTTGTATTCAATACTTTATTAGCACTTGCTATACATATATTATATGTATTTTTTTCTATTGGAAGACACATCTCTTGTATGAGGATAGGCTGGGGGAGCTGGGCCTGTTCAGTCCAGAGAAGAGAGGACTGAGAGGGGACTTTATCAATGCACACAAATATCTGAAGGACAGGTGTCAAAAGTATGGGAGCAGCCTCTTTTCAGTGGTGCCCAGTGACATGACAAGGGGCAATGGGCACACACTGATACACAGAAGTTCCACCTGAATAGGAGGAAAAAATTTCCTTACTTTGAGGGTAACAAAGCACTGGAACAGACTGCCCAGAGAGGTTATGGAGTCTCCTTCTCTGGAGATATTCAAAAGCCATCTGGATACAATCCTGTGCTCCCTGCTCTGGGTGACCTTGCTCTAGCAGTGAGGATGGACAAGATGATCTCTACGTGTCCCGTCCCACCCCAGCCATTCCATGGTTAGGCTATAGAGCAACAGTGCATAGTGAGGAGAAAGGGGTAAAAAGAAAGGCCAGGAAGAGCAGCAGTTTCCAGTCTTTATAGTGTTACTGGTCCAGACAGTCTTTGGAAATCCAGAAGACGAAAGTGGGGCTGCAGCTTAGGCAGAGCTGCCTCAGGCAGCTCTCAGTTTACAGCTTGAAAACGATTGTATTCTTAGTCTACTCCCTTTACCACTGTGGAGCATTTGCCTTGGGGAAATTGGAAAACCTGTTGCTTGAACCATTCAAAACAGAGTGAAAAACTAGACAAAGGGGGTATAAACTCCAAGCTTTTCTGGCCTTTACACTTTCCTAGGAATGGTATGAGTTTATGTATTTCATGTAACATGCATTCCTTAGTGAGAAAATTTAAAACAAATCAGTCATTTGTCTTGTTTATGTTGAAGCCAAGTATTGAGTAAAACTTCTACACGGTGTCTTTTTTCCCCCAGTAAACACGACTTGTTGTGTGGACTGATAAAATGGCATTTACCATTTAAAAAAATGAACATGACCCAAACACTGAGGTTGCACAGGATGTGATTTCACATCACATACAAGCCTTACCTGGAGAGCTGTGGTGTAGACTTTTTTTTAGTTATTAAATGAACCTATGGGAATAATGAGGAAATCTGTGGACTGTTGCCAGCTTATCCCTACTTTTGTCTGTGCTCAAGGTGTGATTTGCAGAAGAAACTTATTTATACAGAGGTAACTGTTACATGTACATGTGTTGCCAGATTTTTTTCGTTATTTTAAGTCACTGCAGTTTTATTAATGGAAACTGAAGCTGTAGCTTTTGTGGAGCAATAATGGACTGATGTGGACTCATAGGAGTGTTAATACTTTATATTGGATAAATGTGTATGCATTGCAGTTTCAGATACAAGATAGTTCATTCTCTTAGGAATTTGGTCCTGTTACCTTCTTTCTCACCAGCAGAGGTCTAGCTTACATACTGATTTCAAAACAGGGTAAATCTCTTTTGCTGACAGCATGTCAACAACATGTTTTCATGACTGGTTATGTCTGTGAGTTCCTCTAGATGTGTTTTCCCTACCATAACTGAACGGTGGGACCGATGTGATTGTATTAAAAACGGGAAGTTCAGAAACACTTGGAGCATCAGTAATCACCGGAGATGAGCCATCAGCAGGTGGCTGTATCGAATCACAAAACCAGAGATTTGTGTTATGTTGAGCCTGTTCCATCGGGATGTGTGAGCAGCTCACTGAAGACAGTATGATTTTTATATACTTACAACCAAGTGTGCTAAACCATACCTGTGTTCACCTCTGGGGAATCAATAGTCTGGAATTCTCAGAGATAATGAGCAGTCAAGCATCTTGTTTTTTATGTACAACACACCTTAAGAAAACAGCAGTTAGCCTCTACAGCAGTGACAGTGAGGAATGAGCTATGCTGTGTAGGAGGATGTTATTACATTCTGTTAAATATTACATTTAAAATATGTTGGAGAAGTGAAAGGCACAAAAGAATAAAAGGTGAGGCTCTAGATTTAAAAATATTAGTTGGTGTGCAAGATCATGAAGCTTACTATAAAAGTTGTTCACCACAAAGTGTTTTGAGGACAAAATGGGAAAGTTTTCTGATGCATTTGACCATTATCTCCTAGGTGCTTTTGTTGAATCTTCCTAGAGAATCACAGGAAGTGGTTAAATAATGCTGAAATAACATTTTAGGTGATTACCCAGCTGACATCCCCTTGCCCTTTAATCAGCTCTATGCACTTTAAAAAGCAGTTTAAGAAAGTGGTGGGCTATCAGCAGGAAAATCTCTTACACTTTTAGTGTGTGGAACCTTGATATATTGCGCAGGTTTCAGAATCTATAGAAGTCTTTTACATAGACTGCAGGTTTGCTTATGCTTCATTTAACTTAAATACAACTGTCTAAACATGGAACTGAACTTGTAAGCCAGCTTGTATGATGGTCTTTGGAGAAACAATTTAATTCCAGAGCAATCTGACACCATGAAACAAAGTACTTGTAAATGTAAAACAAACCAGTTCTTGTAGCATCAATGGCTGCAAGCTGTGATTTTTGTCTAGTTCCACTGTCCTCCTCCCACCGGGTATTTGTGCAAAGAAAAAGGTGGATGTGCAGAAATTCACCTGTGAAGCTGAGCACTGGCTGTCACCATTACTATCACTCTGTCTAGGCTGGACTCACACTGTCACCTCGACATCTTTATCCACTGCAAAGAAATATATTCATTTTGTCCCTATAGGCAGAGGTTGATGTTTCCCTAAGGATAGTGAATGGATTTGGAAAACAATAACAAAAGTTTCTAAGATTTTTACAATAGCTTATGTCACTATAACAGCATGATACTAGTTTTGAACTTCAGAGTATTTTTATTACTGTTTCAGTTGTACAATTTCAGCATTAGGAAACAATACATAATATACAGTACATGGCTTGCGTTGTTCCCAGGTTTTAAAGTTATGTGTCAAGGTTCAAGCTGCAGAATAGAGTTCACCATTCCTAAAATGAAAGCAGGCACATACATACAGTTCTATTAGCGCAATCCTGTGTGGCAAATACAACATTAGGAGCACCACCTGCCATTAGGACACTGCATGTACCAAAGGATTACTGACACGCATCCTTAACGTTCTGCCCTGCTGCCCCTGTAGCACTTGTTCATGTCAAAGTGACATCACTAGAAAAACACATTAGGCAGTTCACTCCTTGGTTTCAAAAGTTAGTGAAAGGGCACAGCTAGTGAAACACCTCACAAAATGAAGCTACAAATCTGATACACATTTTGCATAGTTAAATTTATGTCTGGATAAACTTAGATCACTGGATTTTTGTTTTCTTCTGGCCTTTGTACTTTTGCTTCAAGCTGAACAGTTATTCAAAACACTCATTCAGTGTCCCCCAGTCACTGCAGATACCTTTCCATTTCTTTGGTTGCTCTCTTTTCCTTAACACCTCTTAACCTTTTGTTTTCCTCCTACAGCAATACGCTGAGCCAGACATCCACTCCCTCCCCTTTGGCTACTCCTATTTATTTTTCTTCAGCTTTTCCCTCCTCTTCCTCTTCAGTCACTTCCACTCTCTTCTGTTACTCTTCTCAACATCTCTGGGCTCTTTCTCATCTTCAACCACTCTGACTGTCTCTTGATAGACAATGCTAGTCTTCTTGTTCCATCCAGTTGCTATTGCTATTTGCAATACCACTTCTAAATCCTTTAAAAAGCATTCACCTCTAAGGGCCTCATTCTTTCCATATTTACACATGGATATAACCCCGAAAATTCCAACCGTTTTACATAGTAAGTAGAAGACGAAAATTCAAACCGCTGCCTTGAATTGTAGCTGGAAAGAAGAGAGAGCTAATAGAGGGAGACGGAATGAAAAAATAAAATCCCAATGTAATAGTGCACATTCCCTCTCTTGAACTTGGGGTTGTTTGTTTTTCCCTCTTGGTATGGAGTTAAACATCTCCACAGTTTGTCAACTTACTGTCACAATTTTCTGTAACAATAATCTTAAACAAGTTCGATGACATTTGCTTCTTTGATATGGGTTGTTGTTCTAAATTTCCACTGTTCTCTGCTAAATTCTTTTTAACTAGCATCAGGAAAAAAATCAGCCTTCTACCTGTTGACACCAGAACAGGGGAGGGGAAATATTCACATGCATCCCCTGTAATGCAGAGGCTGCTGAGATAAGCACACTTTAAAAATATTATAGGGCAGCCTGGATCACTTGATTGCTTATAGCACGAACAGTTTTGCAAGCAAGTTTTGCACACCTACTGTGTGCAAAATGAAAGCTGTTCTTCCTTCACAGTCTCTCAGACTCTTAAATCAAAAGCAAGTAAGTTGTATTTCTGATTGTCTGCAACTTATTTTTTTGCCTATAATTGTAACTTTAACCTCTGTTTCTGTTACAGGTTTGGGCTTGTTTGGTTTTGTTGGGGTTTTTTTGTTGTTTGTTTGTTTGTTCTGTGAAAGTTGAACTAAACAAGCCCAGTGTTCAGTAGCATAGGAAGCCATGCCAGGTTTTGCTCGTTTGCCCCAGCCCTGGCACTGGCAACAGGTAGGAACATTACTACAGTCAGACAGAGCTCCTGTTGTCACACAGCTCTGCCAGAGCACCCCTCCCATTCAGATTTCAAGTCTGCTCACAAGCTGATTACTTACTTACATTAAGAACCACATTGAGTATTTAACTGCAGATTTTTTTAGCATGGCTTTAGGCTTGTTTTTCTGTTAGTTAAACATTTAAAAGGAAAATACTTTGTAAAAAAAACCTACACATTTTGAGATAAGCTAGTGCCTGTGAAAAGTGCGAGGTTAAATAACTTTGGAAAGTACAGTCCTCCACATAGCCAAAAATGTAGACAGCCACAGTGCAGACATCTCTGACCTGCCTGCAGCAGTTGAGGTGCCAACACGGGGAAAGGGGAAAAGGGTAATTAGCCCCTAGTTTGATTCTCTGCTGACATATACAAGGATATGAGTTCTGAGCACCTGTCAGTCACTGCATGACTGCCAACACTAAATGAACCTGTCATACTGTACAGCACACCTACCAGTTGGAACAACTTCATTTCTGCCTTCCTTAGTCAACATAGAATCATCATCCTTGAGGTAGACGACCAGATATTCCAATACACTTTCCCTGCACCTTTCAGTATCAAATATTTCAAGTAAAAAATACCTATTTTCAAACACTGTAGCTAGTGATTTCACTTTAGTATCACCCATACTGTATCATGTCTGGAATGAGCTCTTTTGTATTACATTTGATGCTTTACATTTTCAAAGCACATCCAAAAATCAGCTAAATGAGGATTGCATTAAACCCTACAATTTAATCATAGTATATGATTATATATAGTATATATATATTATATCTCTATAGTTTTATGGCCAAGTTATAAGCCCCTGAGAACAGAGTTTATGCAGAAACACTGGCACCAATAACACTAGTGGACGCGGCTTTATTTAGATGTAATTAGCATAGAAAGCACCTGGAATTATTTATATTTTCTATTTATAATAGATTAACTCTTTGGATAATTTCATAACTATATTAAGAATACATTTGTTAATCTTAACATCCATTGCAGAAAGATTATATTTACACACAAATACACAAAGACTTGATGTGAAAGAGCAGAAAGGAAGAAAAGGTGCCTGATCCTGTGCCCTTATTTATATACATGGGTAGTGCCTTTAAGTCAACTTGTATGAGTGTGGGTCCCAGGTGTGGATAAAAATTACAGGTTCTGGTCCATAATACTTTATGCATCTTTGACAAACTACTATTTAAACTATTTTTACAAATACATTCTACAGTAACTGTGTCTATGGGCTCAGGCATCCAGCCCTGAGAGAAACACAAAGTCTGCATTTGTAAAAATCCCCCCAACATGTTAAGAATTAGCTGTTTTTACAACTCTGCACTGAAACACACCTGTCCACCCAGCACAGGGGACGATCCCTCCAGTGTCCCAGGCTGTGCTGGGACCTACCAGGAACAGTTTCTCTTTATTATAAGACTTGGACAAGTGAGTCTTGGTGAAACAGTAACAGCTTGCTTGAAATGCAAAACAAGCCCAAATGCAACTCAAAATAGATTCAAATTGTGTTTTTATATCTACCTGCAAATGTTGCTGTCCAAAAAAGAGACTTCAGTTCAAGATAACAACATTACATTATCTGTGAAAATGAAACCATACACTTTTCAGAGTACAGGAGCTTCTTATCAATATTGGCTGCATTCTTCATTAAAGTCTCCTAATACAATCTTGGTTTGAAACATACTTTAGAGAACAAACTAAACATGTTTGCAATACTTTGACAGAAAAATGGAATTCTTTCCAGACTGAAAGAATATGAATTCTGTAAGTCAATAATGACAACATTTTTGTAGGTAAAAAGTGCAAATTTGTGTATATTACCTTTAAGAATTTTACACTGCTACCTACAGGGAATTTCAAAGTGTCCTTCTTTTGATGTGCTTTACCAGTTGAATAGTACGTTTTGACCAAGAGTCATAAAGTATATTTGACTGCTGCCTCCTGACTGTACAGATGCAAAGAACACCTTGAAAGGGGAAAAAAAAAAGAACAAAACATTATGCTACTGTCAGTTTACATTTATAAGAATATTTTTACTCATATAAGAAGTCTGATAGAATGCCACAGTCCCAAATACAAGGATATATGGATATCACAAATCAACTTTAATCCCATGAGAAACTTCTTAAAGTGAAACTCTACTTGTGGTACAACTGGACTTTTCTTAATATATATTTCTTTTCTAATTTGAAAAGACACAGGAGAACATTTAAAAATAATTTAAACAGTTTGGGGGCCCCAGTTTTCCAAATATGACAGTGGGACTAAGAAGGTTTCAGAGAACATTTATCAAAATTGCTATATACAAGAAATCATACTTGATTATCCATACTTTGGTGTCTGCAATTAAGAGTGTTGTGGGGTTTTTTTCTCCATGATGGCTGCTCTGAACTGCCTGTAATTTCAGTAGCCCAGGAGAGGCAGTCCCGTAGCTGGGTGTTTTTGGGGCTGACTCACCAGACCTCCCCACTATACCTGTGCTGTGGCCAGTTAGCAATGTCTGTATTTATTATCACCTCTGATAGCAGGGAAGGCTGGGTGGAAAAGGAGTTCTAACAGAGCTGGTGGTGGGAAAGTGCAGAATATCCATAGTGAGGGTTTTGTGGGATCAGTGACTACCTTGGCTTTGAATGGGGAAGTTATACTAACATAAGAAATAACCAATAACAAAGTTACAAAAATTAACTGGTCTTAGTGTCATAGTCAGCTATTACTCATTTTTGCTAAATCACCACACTCAGTAACCTCTGTACCTTGTCATTTCTTTCACAAAGAAATTTTAGCTTCTGTGCTTTCTTGTGCATAAATACTCCTTCCAGATTTCCTGTCTCCACAGAGCGTAGTTCAATGGCTTTCTCTCCCCAGCCCATGACCTGATTAGATTGAAGGTAAGCTAAAAGAAAAAAAAGAGAAAAAAATAATTTATACTATTTAACACCTGAAAGACTGATTCTTGCCTCATTTATATCAATTATGGATCTGATGCATTTCTCTTTGATAACAATATATTCTGAATTATTTGTATTTTAAATTTACACAAAACGCCTTGGGGATAGTAACTCATTTTCAGTTTCTCCTCTCAGACTTATTCTGGACTCTAGACATAAATCTTAACTACTGCTGTATGTCTTAGATTCACAAAAGGTTGAAGGAAACCTCTGAAGGACATATTTTTGAACCCCCAGCCCCAAAGCAGGGCCAAATTAGACGGGGCTAATCAGGACCTTGTCAGGACATGTTTTGATGGATATCTCACAACCTCTCCAAGACACTGCTGCAATGCATCACCAATTTAAAGTTAAAAACTTCTTCCTAATATGATTTTTTCTTGGTGCAACTTGTGTTCATTTTTGCCTCTCAGCCTTTCAATATCGAAGTCTTGACTGTCTTGTCTGTACCCATCAGGTACAGAGACTGTTCTCTGTCACCATTAGGAAGCTCAGTTTGTATTTACTATAAAGTTCAGCTTAGTCTGAAACCTAAATACTTTAGAATTTGAGACTATGGCATGATTAATTTGGTGTCCTTAGCTATTGTCTTCCCATCACTGGTTACGTGCAGTATCTCCAAAACCAAAAGAAGATATTCCAGCACTGTGGAAGCTTACTATGATACTTCCTTTAAATCTGGCAATAAGAAATTGGAATAGTGATGAAGGAGTTTAACACCACAAATTTCAAATTAGGCACAGTTTCAGTGAAAGCCCTCTGATTATTGCATGTATGGGCTTCCAAGGTAAAATCACATTAGTTATGCTCTACTGGTAGTCAATGCTCAGAAATTGTTCTTCTTGCTCAACTATCAACTGTTATTTCATTAGCCTGAGAATCCTGGTGCTCTGAAATGATGTAAAGGGAATGTGTGCATTGGACTGGGTTTAGCTTCAGTGGACAGGGCTTGCCTGCCCTACATTACTAGTGTGAGCAATGTCTGTTTCTTAGAGCCTTCCATGTTGCTTTAGGTTTTTGTCTAAAAGTTAAACTTTAAGTACAGACTGATACAGGAAGCGACAGCCCGTGATCCTACTTGGAGAAGGACAGTAGAAAATAAGGGCAATATGCCCAAGTGTCTGTATATGCTTCTAGCAGTGTTGATTTAATATTAACTTGGAATCTTTGATTTATAATTGTTGTTAAAGCAAGTGTATGAAAGTCATACCTCCTTGGAAACACGTGTGTTTTGGCTACAATTCTGTGATTTTAGTTTCCTCAAGTTCTATGAATTTCCCCTAAAACTGTTCAGATGACTTTCTTTTCAGTTACTCTTTGTGCATACTGAAGGCTTCCCTGTCACTAGAGCTGAGAGCAACACAATTCTTTCCCAGTTTCCCAGTCATGAGGAAAAAGGAAGAAACCAACCTGTTTTAAAAGCAAAGCAGCAGTGAGCAACTGAGGGTAAGTGGCAAAAGAAGAGGGGTATTTTCTAAAACTCAAACACATGAAATCAATACATTTTTAAATCTTTTCAGTTCTTAGGCTGTACAACAGGGTATGATTGATGTAGGCTGTGAGGGTGTCATTAACATCTCTGAACCCACTGCAGCAGTAGCTGGGTGAGCCCCAGGGCAGCACCCAGTGAAGTCAGCATGTGAAAAGGTAAGCCCGGACCACACATAAAGTGAAAACGATAAAAGTGATACAACACTCAGAATTCTGCTATTTTTTGTAACTGACAGCACATTAACCTCTTCAAACTTGGCTTTTGAAACAACAGAGGCAGAGGACACTATGGTTCTGGGGGGTGGGACAGCGAGGCAGGTGCATGTATATAAACAGCATGGAAGCATTCTGTGGCTACACTGCTTAGTATAGGTCAGATAGGTTTAGCAACAAAGACCTAATCCACTCGTAAGTCTCCTGATCTTTTCCACTACATGAAATCTGCACTCCAGGTGTCAGTATGCTGTGTCTGTATCAGCTGTATCTGTGCCTTTGGCAGATTTCAATTTGATAGCTTCCTTTCAGCTCCCAGTAACCACTTCATTAAGCTCTGCTGCAACCTCTAGGTCATTTGGGATAGAAAGCCTGCATGACTGGACCACTACTGCTGTGTTCAGAAGAGACAAGTATTACGAGTATCCAAGCAGTATTACAATAGGAACATAATAAACCAGACACACCAAGTTCAGCCCTGATGCTCTGCTGGTCTGCGAATGTACTGAGAACTTGTCAACTGACAATGGCTGATTTAAGTACAAGTAGCATAAAAAGTCTTGTCACAGAATGAAAAAATTCTCAGATTTCATTTGTGAAACAACTTGCCAACAAAATGGCTTGATTATACCATTTGCAGGGTTGTCCCAGTTATAAGGATTTAACTATACATGGAGATGAATTTGGAGGATAGCAGGCTGTGAATTCAGAGGTCAGTACAAAGTCTTGATAATCTTCCCATAAGGGAGCACTTTACAGGTGTTTGATGTGAGATGAATTGAGAGCAGATACTCAAAGTTGTCTTCTTTTGGAACAATAGCTCCTATACTACAAGAAACTTGGGAATAGTTACTGTGAGTCCACTTTTCACTCCAACAGGCTTTAGATAAAAATGTCCTGTGCTTCTAGCTGGCAACATACACAGGTGCTTATATTACATATTGTACAGGTTTTTAGCAACCTTAGACTTAACAGCCACTCTGATCCTTTGCACAGTAGCTAAGCTGAGAAGGTATATACTGACTCAATGATGTGCCAGTAGCTGCTTAACCTACTGGAACAAAGTTATTCAGAGTTCCCTGAAGCTCCCCTGCTTCACCCAGATTACCGTGTATATTAAAAGACCTACAACTGTGCATGAACTGTGGCTCTTGCTACACCATTTACCCCAGCAGTACTCCCTGGACATCAAAGAATACATGCCAGAAAGCCAGTGTAGCAAAGTGAGCTCAAAATCAGTTTCTTATAATTGTGAAAGCATTAGCAATGCTCTAAATTTTGCAAGACTTGGTATTTCCTGTTTACCCTGTGTATTGAGCAGAGCCAGGGAGTGACTGTTTCAAGGGTAAATGGTTGAGGGAGATACGGAAAGGTTAAAGGAATCACTGAGCCATATTGAATCCATTAACTTCTATGAAGTGTCACTGACATGAGCTAATGATCTCACACCAGTAGCATATTCACTGTCTGAATGAGACAAGTGCACTTAGTACCACAGAAGCCAGGTACTGTTACAATCTCACTTCCCTTCTTAATCTTTCTTTTTTAAAATGTTTCTCTTTTAAAAAAATCCCTGTTCTAATCTCATGTACTGAATTTGGCTCACTGCCCTGTAAGCAGTTATTCCTAACTGACCTCTGCATGAGAGCAGAATCAGGCCAGCTTTTAGCAAAATATCATAAAGTTGGGCTTTTCTGATTAGTGTTACAAAAATAGGGCAGGAAAGGACCTTAATGCACCTTCTCTTCTATCCATATCTCTGTGCTGCATCAGTATCACTGGTGACAATTGTTTGTTTAACCTGACCTTAAAGACCTCCAGTGATGGAGACTCCAAAAATTCCCCAGGCAACTGATTCCAGATAAACTAAGAAGTTTAAAATGAAGAAACAGAACATGATTTAAAAGAGTCTGACCCACTTTTGTGTATCTGAGTCATGATATCAAACTCCATTCCAGAGTGGAAGAAAGTGTACACTGCTTTACTGAATTCCTTTTTGGAGACAATCAGTATGTGCACAGGTGAGATTCAATGCAAAAAAGCCACTAAATTTTGCTTTCTGTACAGGTTTGTGAAAATTGCTTCAGGCAAGTGTGGAGCTGGGCAAAACACACAGAGGAGAATATCCAGTGATGACTTTGGTGACAGTAAAAGGTACCATCGACTGCCGAGTACACTGCTGTAGAACCCTTCTTTGGCCCTTCAGTCAAACCCAGTACACTCTGAAACCACAGTATATTCAAGCTTTTTTCAATATATACTATATTCAATATATATAAAGCTTTTATTGGTTTCCCAGTCTTTGGGGAAAACATGTTTGTTCATTTTTAGACAAATGGAGGGGACACATACATGTTGAGGACTGGGAATGAAAAAAACCCAGAGATACCAACAGTGTCCTGTGATGTAGCAAAGCTTGTTCCCACAAAAACCCAGCCAAATGCTCTCCAGTGATGCTGCTGATGACTGATTAGGGACTGATAGCTATTTTGCATGTACTTCTGTCTCTAGCCCATGCTTTAATATTTACTGATCATAAAGTTGAGCAGTTTTAGGTAGGAAAACTGAGGAAGATAACTTCTCTTGTGCAATTCTGTTAAATAGTTTTACTGCTATAATTTATGTTACCTGGATAGAGAAGAGGGTGTTTTTCTTCTTCCAGTCACAGCTGTGGAGAACTTTTATTAAACAAGAGAGGCTAGAGAGTCAAAATAAAGAAGGAAAAAAAGCTAAGGCTGAATAAAGTTAGAAATAGACAAATTAAGAAATTGGCCCTGGAAGGCCGGTGTTTTCCTGCTGTACATTTTGGTTAGAGTGCACTGGGAAAAGGGATAACAGGATAACATACAGTAGAAGTGATACCCCAACCCAGAAATGCATTTGGGGTGGCCATTTGCTCGTTTGAATGCCTTTTGCTGTTCCCTTGGGGAAGAGCGTGCAGGAGACCTGACCAACATCAGTCACTCAGATACGAGCGGGGGTGTTCTGTGCACGAGCTGGACAGCAACTCTCTCAAGAACTGGTGAGTATGGTGGTAGAACACTGAGGCAATAATTCCACCACCTTTTGGTAACACTGTCTGTTTCTCTCCATAATATCTGTTTTGCTTCCAATATGTACAGGGAAAATGAAATAAGGGCTTTTACTGCTTCCGCACTCTGGGAATATCCAGATTTGTGTCAAACCTCTGAGATTACATAATGTAAATAATTCATTACTCACACAAAAGGGCAAAAGTGCTCCCCAATCTTATTAACTTGATGTTTCTTAAAGCCTTTTTTAATCCTGTTTTATAGAAAGAAAATATTACATCTATATTTATATTTAGCCCTACATATGTGAAGTATCTTTCAGCTTAAACATAGAATACTTCTACAATTTTAATTTCCCATGGGATTTGAGTTTCCTCTCTCCAATTTCTTATTAACAGATCGGTCACAGAGGTCCCAACTTTAAGACTATGAGTAAGTTATATTTAGATTCCCTGCCCTAAATCCATTGATTATAATACGAACTATTTTTTACTTTTTGTATCAAAATATTCTCACCAACTACGAAAGTTTTCTTTCAAAATACTTGTTTAAAGAAATCAAGAAATGAGCAAAGGATGACTAGAGAGAACCCTGAGGTTAACACAAGACCCTTCTATCTCTGCAACATAGAGTGAAAATTTTGAGGTAAGCTCATACAGACTTCAGGAGGTCCGAAATGGGTCTGAAAATGTCCCCCAGGAAAACAGTTTCTTTTAAGAAACTCTCAAATTTCCACCAAGCTGGGCCATGCAAATAACAGTTAATTCCTTCTATTAAGATGTAATCAACCTTGAGAAACTGAGAATATCATGCCTAGCCAGATGTATACCAAAGGATGTTTAAGTCAGAGTAATGGACTGGTATAAAAGATCACATTCAGTTGGTTCGAAGTGGTGAAGCTTAATTCACTTCAATGCCAGCTGGGAACATGCAAGGAAATTTCCACTGAAGGGAGTGTGATTTCCAGGATGCAAGAATGCTTTACAAACCTCTTGTATCTGTGGGTTTCATGATTCAGTACTTACAGCAACATTAGGAAGAAGGACTTAAGCTCTCCCTGGTCTGCTTCTAAGGCATTCACTAGATTAAGTGGAAAAGCTTTGAAATAAATCAGTGTCCACTGACACAAACTGCAGATTTCCCAGGAGTCATAGATCTATGCAACCCTTCTTGTGTTATCCCCCTTTCTAAAGCAGGATGTAAGAAAGCCCTTTGTTCCTTATCTCTCGTCTGTCTTAGAAGCACACTCTCTAGTAACGATGACTCTTTAGGGCATATCAACAGTAAGGATAATACAACTAGGAAAGTTACAATACAAAACCAGTTACAAATAACATCCATGGTTTAAAAACTATTAAATATACGATTAAGGTTAATCTCTGATAGAACACTTATATAAATGCAGCTGATTTTAAAATTGTTTCTTCCCAAGGCAGAAAAAAGGACTTCTAACTCATGAAGTACTTGTGGGAAAACAAAGGAAAGGTTTTTAGTGAAAATTTATGAATTAGTTATTTATGAATTAGTTATTAGTTTTTAACTTAGCTATTTATGAAAATCATATAACGTATATGTGCACCATAGGGGGAATAAGACACTGCAGTTCCAAGAAAATGTTCATGTTAAGTAAACTTGCTCCTTTTAGTAAGGCCTAAGGAAGCACATCCCATAACAATATGCTTCTTGAAAGCTGCTGTCTCCTTCAGACTAATTCATCAGTCCAGCATTCAATTACATTAAATATTTCTTATTAAAGGGTGTTATTCTATTGATTTTAATGGGCTTTTCCTAAAACTACTCAGCTAGAAATGAAAGGAGAAAGGTGTACATCCTTGATTTTCACTGTGGCATCCAGTTTTTTCGAAGCTAACACCATGCTTCTGTACAGTCTAAGTGTCTTGGGCTTGTTTTGTTTATTGGCATGTTTGTTTTAAAATGCAAAAGAACAGGAGTGAGACAGAAATTAAAAGTAACAAGTAATAAAAACAAAAGTCTGCCTGTGTTGTTCTTGGTTTTCCCCATAGTGTTAGCTTGAAGCCCTCCAGGGAAGGTGAAACAAACAGCTGTCCTGGCTCCAGTACAACCAGAATCTCCTCCTACACAGACAACTGCAAGCATGGGGAGCTTGAGAATCTGTTATAAATACCCTGGGTTGGCAGCCCTGTGAATTTAAAGTGATAAAATTAAGGGGCCATTTGACAGCAGTTACAGATCTCTTCAGCAACTGACCTCTCTGTAGCTGTGAATTTGTACATAAAACGCTCTGAGCTATGAACAACCAAAGCACCTTTTCCCCCTCTGTAATTCACACAATTCTCTCTGTGAGAACTGGTGGCAAGCTGCATCATCAGTGAGGTTTGTCTGTACAGTTGAAGTGTGATGCAATAAACAGCGTGGCAATAAACAGACTGTGATCCAAATGTGAAGACCCTATTGCAGTCATTGGCCATGTTAACACAAACATCCATAAATCTGTTTACTCTTTACACATCTGGTTTGCTCAGAAGTTGTTTTATGTGCCATACACTTTCACATGGATACAAACCTCGTAAAGAAGTCAGGCTTCATGCAGCAGAATCTTGTATTTAATGAAGAGCTGTTTTTCATACATACCTACAGACGCTGGCATTTCTCCCCACTGTAAAACAGTCTCCTTTGTGAAATGCCCGTATATATCAATGTAGATGCCTTCATCTTCATAGGTGAGCAAAAGCTCCATTCCGCTGGTGTTCGGGAGGATGATAATGGCATGTGGGTGGATAGTCCCCTGGATCTAGAATCATATTTTACTAAGATTTATATCAGAACGTGGACTGCAATTTTAGTGACGACATCAATCTAACTAGCTTGGCAGAGCAATAAAAACAACTGGTTCATGGAAAGTGAAAGAAATGCCCATTCTCAAAGGCTGAACAGTTTGCTAGTGAGCCTTTGAAACAGGCTTTCTCCCCTCCTCCCCCCTTGAATATGACAGTAGGCTTGCACACATATCAATGTTCAATATTTCTCTTTAAATTTACCAGTGTTAATTGGTTTCAAGAAGCCATGGAGCCATTGAGACACAATAATATTTACTTAGTCACTCACAAAACACTTGCAAAATATAAATAGAAGAAAAGTGAAATAAATTTGAATTCACAATTATTTCGGAAGTTGGAGGAAGGACAGAAGCTTCCACATTCCAGGAGATCAGTGCTTTCACTTTCCATGATATTTCCCTATCACTACTCACAAGTTAAAACCTGCAAATTCAACAGTATTCACTTTGCTGTGAAAAGTTACCTGGACCTTTCAAATACAAGCCACTCTCTGTCCTTCCCTTCCCAAATCCCTCACTACAAACAGTTCCCATTTAACTGCTGTTGGGCACACCTCTCTGCAAGCCACAGGAACAGTGCATTTCACTCACACAAATCTCTTCCAGAAGCCAACATGTCCCAAACAAAAAAAACCCCACAAAAGTTGAGGTATACAACCATGAAGGTGGGATTTTATGGAAGTGTTTTCAAAAGAAAAAGAGGACAGCCTTAAAAACCAGTAACAAAGCATTTCCTTGTTTAAAGTGCTACTCAAAACAGGATGTTACATAGTAAATTAAACCACCACAATTAATATTTTTATAGGAAGCATATGACTGGAGCTTTACATCATTCTCACAAGCCAGCCACACACAGAGATGTTTTTTTTTTTCTTCAAGCACAGACACTTATACACACTGTGAGTGCACAACGAACAGTAAAAGAAGCACTGAAGCTGTACTTGCCAAACCGAATACACTCAGGCCAACCACTTGACTCCGTGCCTCCGCAACAACTATCCGCAACACTAGAACGGGTATCCAGAGCCGCAGAGCAATTTTAATGCGTTGCCTTGGTACTTGCATGAGTGATCGGAGCAGGTAAGAGATGAAGATAGAGGTGGGGAACCAGGAAAAGAGGCTACCAGAAAGCAAGAGTATCTAAAGTCAGCCTGTTAAAAAGTCTGGGCTGTCGCTACCAAAAAGCTCCTTGAGAGAATTATTCAATTCTAGCAGATGCTCTTTAAAATTATAAAATACCAAAGAAGATAGAGCCGCTGTAGCAGTCGATTTATTTCAGGTCTAAGACTCTAAAGGGAAAATGTATTTTTAGTACATGCTAACTTTTGGTTGAAGAGTGCACACAAACTCAGTCAGTCTTAGAGGTGCCCCACATATTCAGGGCAGTCACCTGGGAAATCTCTCTCATCAGGTACCTAATTGTATTTGCAGCCTGTTGAAAAAGTAAAGCCTCTAAGAAGGTTCACTTTTTTCTTTGCCTTTCTTCTCTTGGGCAATTATGCTAATGATCTCTTTGACAAGTCACTGCTCACCTTGCTCAGCAACCCACTTCCAGAATGGCATGTGGGTACCATGCTTCAATTTATAAACTGATGCGAATTTATCATAGTTGCATAGTTAAAGGTACTAACTGTCAGATTAAATAGACCCTCTAACAATACACCCTCTAACAGGACAAATATTAAGTCCCTTAAAAAAAAACCCCAACGCAGAAATAAACAGTACAAGCCTTTAGCAGGTGATTAAACAGTTCCAACAGCTAAAAAAGTCACTTCTCAATGAAGAGAAGTTTCTAAACTTAGCAGCCATCCTCAAACACTGTGTCCATCAGGAACACAGGTCTGACAGGACATGGAGGCTGTCACTTCCAGGGCAGCAAAGTGATCAAATGGCTTGCACAGGAGGCTTTTCATTTGAGTTGAAAACATGGGACTGAGAGTGGAGAAAAGTTAAAAAATAAATGGATTCATGGCACACGCTGCAACATGCAGATCTGGGATGAGATTTCTTCAGACATCCCAAGTGTAACTTTAGGACACGTGGCCTTGGGATGCAAGGAGGCCATGGCACCTGGATGAGCTAACCCTCGGCCCCTGTGGAGCACTGTTGACTTCAGGGAGGTTTCCAAGTGTGCACAGAAGTTTCCTTGCCAGGAGCCTCCCATTAGACTGGAGCCAGTCTGGAACCCGCCAGTTTACTGAATATAAGCCCCCAAGCTTCTCTGACTTTTGAAAAGAACTATCTAGAACAGCTAAAAAATAAGCAAACAAACAAACAAACAAAACCATTAAAACCATAGCACAGACTTCATATTGGACAGCCCCATGCCTTGTCATTCACTTCTGCAGGGGAATTTGCTGCATTTAAACAGCAATGTAGTGATCACCATCACCTCCAACAGAGACACAATGCAATCAATATGTACACATCAACCTCAAGTCAACATTTTCATGCCAACTTCTTGACAACCTAACGAGAAAGTCTAGAGGAAAATGTAAAACTTCTTCTGAATTTACAGACTGATTTAACGGGCAACTGCATGGTAAGAAGATCCACAAATTTATTTAGTCCAAAGTTTGGTTTCTGCAAAGTCTGCACAGTGGCAGATTGTAAAAGTCAGCTAAATTCACGTAGATATTATTGTGTCTTTGACTGTTAAGTCCTCAATTTCCAGGACAAATCAATTAGAAATAGTAGTGTCCATACAATAGGCTTTCTGATATTAAACCATTAAAATTGATATCCTAAATGGGATAAAAGCATTTTAACAGGACTTCAGTGTTATAGAAGTATGAGAAAATTGGTTTTCTATTAGCTGTCATACAATAATTATTCTCTTATCCCATCTTTTGAAAAACAGCACAACTCTTAACCTGATCATCATCAATATATAGCCCAAAGAAAAAGGCAATAATGTTGGTTTTTGGATTATCTTACGTGTGTTGGAAGATACAGGTCATACACAGATCCAGAGTCCACATCAATAGCATGAAAGCCCACTAGTGACCCATATATAACCTTCAATCTCTGTCCATTTTCAACAGTCAGGTCAACTGCTAGTGGTTTGTGATGAAGTGAGGTAAAGGACTGGAAAAAAGAAAAACATAAAATATAACAAAATAAAGCTGCTGGTTTACAGATCAACATATACAATCTTAAGAATTCTCAAAACTCAAAAGTTAGACAGCTATTTTTGTTAAATAGTAGGTTATATTTAAGGAGCTGAGTATCCATCATCCACTGAGTCGCAAGGACAGTTGGATAATTCACTTGTGGTTTGAAAAAGAAATCCAGATTCTAGAAATGGACTAGGCAAAAATTGGGCTGAGTACCATTTGTGTTCAGTTTCGTCCCCTTCTGAGGGAAATCAACATCAACTTTGTGAATTCAAATGTACATTTTGGCACAGCACATGTGCTGCATTTGGCTGGGGCAGAGACAAACAAGTTACTCACATCTAACAATCATGACAGTTTTATGCCTGCCATCTCCAATGTATGTCAAATGAGCTACACTTTCTTTAGAAGAATACTGATTTTATCTTTAACTCGAATAAATGTTATACAAAACAAAACAAACAAAAAAAACCCCAAAGCAAAGAGCAGATGAGAGACACTGACACATCTGAACCAAAGGGATTTTCACCTACCTTAAAAGCCATGAATTTGTGATAAGGCTTTGGAGCCCAAGCATAAACCTCCACTGAGTTTTTCAAAGCAATTACGAGGAATTTTATTCTCTCATATTTTACTGTAATACAAGAAGAACAATTCCTTAGGTACCAGACAGACACTTAAATCAAAGGCCATCTCATCACATGAAATAATTTCAATGGATTACTTGTAGAGGTAGACATTATCCAGCAAGGGAGACTAATGCATTCAGGACATCAATGTTTAATACCACCAGTGACAATACCTTGACTGGAAACCTATAGTTCATTTATTTTCAGTAAAGCCAAATGACTGTTAACAACATTTATATATTGCTTTTCATATAGCAATGAAAAAATAATAATAAATCTTACCACTCAGAAAAAAAAGGTCTTGACTCTGCATCTAAGCCAACCTATTTGATTTTTTAAGTGTGAACACACCCCAACAGCTCGTTATGAATAAGCTACTGTTGGAGGACTGGTGGTTGCTGGCTGAACAATTCTGTAAGACTCTACAGGATGAATTTTCATTTCACTGTTCATCTGTGGGGTTAAATCCCCATTTGCCAGTGTGGGTGAAGGACTCCCAGCTTTCTGAGATGAGTAAGCATTTACGAGATGAGCAATTTCTCCACGACGATTAAGGTCATGTTGGGCCCATCGAGAATAAATGAAGAATCGCGCATTGAAAATTAAGGTTTCTTTGGCAGAGTAAAAACACAGTGTACAGAGACAAGCATTTGCTTTGGAAGCAGGATGTTATCTCACATAGGCAGAAAACAAAAAAACCCAGCAAACTCCACCAAAATACAAACCAGCACGTTCTTTTCCTTTTTACCTGGAAAAATGGCTGTAAAGCCAAAGGTCAAGATACAAGAAGATTCACCAAGAGAAAAACAGCAGCAGTTGTGCTGTCAAAAAACGAGGTCTGGCTTGTCATATGTAAACACAGAAGCTCCTACCAAATGCTTGCCTAATTTTAGGATAAGTATTTTGGTTTGTGTTTTTTTTTTTTAATAACACAGCAAACCCAATGATGACCAACTGAAGTGGAATATGTGGGTGCTTAGCTGTAATCACAACTAAAGTAACAACACACATCTGTTTCATAATCTCTCTTGGGTTTAACCCCTGCCTCTTTTAAAGCCAGGAGAGCCAGCTAGCTCACATCTCCTGCACTCCCCTGTAGCACAGCTCTGTTTGACTTTGAAGAATGTGTCACTGTCATATACTACCCTTCACCACAGCAAGACTTGCCTCATAGTTCACACCCTCTCCCACAAATGACAGAAACTATCACAACACTGATGCTCATCTTCAAGAATGAGCTGCCTGAAAGCCAAAGAAAAGCGAGATGGATCATTTCCAGTGTGTAAGTTTAAACATAGGTATATTTGGGTCTTTCATGACCTAGAGAAAGGGATGAGCTGTAGCACATCCAGTCTGATCTACCTTAGGACATCCTATAAATACAACTCACTAGGACTTTAAATAGGTCCAGTTTCTTAGCAATTACTCAGGGGCAGGAGGGAAGCTGAACAGCACAGAAGTGGAAAAAAATCAGTCTAATTAAAACCTTAAGTAACTACAGAACAACTAAGCCACTGACTAACCACAGAGCGTGGCTGGCACTCCCTCCTTTCAGCCATCACAGGAAAGAGCCATAACATCATCTGATATCTGCTGCAAAAAGAGCTGCTACCTGGAATGACAGAGACCAAAGCATCTGCCATGTAAAACAAGGAGGCTTGAAAGAACTCAAGAGATATTCAGAGCAATACAATCCTGAAACAATGCTGAACAAAAATGCTGCTGTCACAAGATGCAAAAAGAGGATGATTAAGTACCTCTCCAAGTTAAAAACAGGAAATCCTTACCAACTTTGTAGTGCACACAGCCTTCCAGGTCACCCACGGACACCCAGCCCTGCCGCTTCTCCACCTCTGGATCATTGCGCAAAATTTTATTCCTCAGCCATGACAAGTAATACACCCTCAACTTATTCTTCTTCCCTAGGGTTTGCAAAAAGAGACAGATTGCTTTAACTCTCTGAAGTACAAACTCTCCCCCACTTACAAACTGCCAGAGTTTTGTGACCTTGAGTGCAGCAGGTCTTTGTGCCTTGCCAAGGTGAGAGAACAGTCCAGTGGCATAAGAAGAAAGCCCTGTGTGATGGGGGCACATGGGGGGGAACTGGCACATGAGCAGCCCTATGGCATGTGCACTTACCTTGTTATTCAAGCTTCAAGATTTTCACAGCTGACTAAAATTCTTCCCTCAGGCCAAAGAACAAGTCTCTACAGACACAAGTATTATCAGAAACAATCACACTACCTGGCATTTACTCTGGAACACAGGCATGTTCTACAATGGCCATTTTGAAAAAGTGGTTAATTTAGTTCTAATTAAATGACAATCTTCATTACAAGCAGCTATTTTTCTTTTGGATGGCTTTCCAGGTGAGAATTATTTTGTCATCTTTCATCTCAATCAGTCTTTCTGTTGCTTTAGTTTGTAAGTCCGTATTGTCAACAGCAGCCTGGGACCACAGGTTATTCTGAAGAGAAGGACTATGTCACATCATCAGCTGGACCTGGCAACCTGGGACAAACAGCTCATGCCGTTGTCCACCACAGTGAGTCTGGACTGGAGACAAGGAGCTGCCATTCCTTGCTGGACCTACACACCTCTGACCTTGGTATGTGCTGTGAATCCTTTGAGGCCACTCTCATCCATGGGGAATAAGGGCAGAGCCTAAGCTGTTTGCAAGCAGAGGTTGAAGACCTGCACTTAATGTTATTGATGCTTTCACAATACAGATCACTCTTATGTTACTGCTCATACATCTTGTTGGACACAGGATGACGTTATTTAATGATATGTTAACAGAATTGCACCTAGATGGTCACTCACCACAGAAACAAGCTGAGTGACAAACTATAACTTGCTGAGAATCAGTCCATTTTAGGAATGAAACACTTTGTACTTCCCACAAACCATTTTGCACATTAACCAAGTAATGAATTGTTCCAAAGCCTCTCTGGAATGAGAGTGTAAATGTTAAAAATTCAGGAGAGTTTTCCTATTAACAAGAATAAGTGTCCTGTGATTTTCTGAAAGAGGAAATTCCTCAACCTAGTTTATAACCTAATTCTTCTTTTTAATTGCTTCCAACCCAAATGCAGGTCAGATACTTTTAGACACTGAACTAACCTGATATAGTAATTAGCACATTGAGTCCTTCCAAAACATCCATTTGCTGGAATCGTCTCCTTGTAATCAATGTATAAACTCTTCCTTGCCCACTTCTGTCCAGCAGCCACAATCCATTCTCTGTTCCCACCAGTAAATTTACTCCTGTCAATACATGAAAAAAAACCTGCATAAGTCACCTAATGATTCAGAGGCCACCGAGTGTTCACTCTTTTGTGAACTGATTCTTATTTAGTCTCACTTAATGGTACCCGATAATTTCTCTGTTGCTCTGTGGATGACCTCCCAGAAAAACAGATCTCACCATTACAGCAGAACATGTATATACCCATGGAACTTGAAGGCTGAATAGTTATACTGAAATCAATGTTGATTTAAACAAAAAGGAAAATGTTTTGTGAACTCGACTTCTCAGGCGACCTTGGAAAGTGTCTGTAAGCAGTGCAGAAGTCTCAGTCCAGCACCACTGCACTACTGACACAGGGGATCCACCTAAGTGATCAAAGGGTCCCTACCAATTAAGATTAAAAAAAACAAATAAAAAATTCCCCCCAAACACTCTTTTTCCAAATATAACACTCACAGCACAGGGGCACCAAACTTGTGGGAAGAAGTGCTGCTGTTACAAGGAAGTGCAGTGTTTGTCTGAAAACAGGCTGGGTTTTGGAAGAATACGTTCAAATGCTAAATTAAAGGAGTGAATCCATCTGAAATCCAAGTGCTACTAAGGAAGCAAAGGCTCCAGCGGGTTGCTGACATCAGAGGATGTCAAAAATTATGTTCAGCTGGAATGACAGCTAAGTTTCCTAATCAGCAAGTTCTAAAGACACGACATAAGGTATCCTGCTGTAACAAGCACCCTCCTCCACTGCCAGTGCTCTGATGAGTACCTGGTGCTCTTCAGCCTCAATGCACACTTAATTACAGACCTTGCCACAGAGCTCTGTTCTTAATTTAAAATCTTGGATTCCTGCTAACACATATCACACGAAATCTGTGAAGCTATAAACTGGAAATCTATACTCGCTTTGGATAATGTTTCATCTACTTCATTCATCTGCCATTCCAGGCTCAAAAAGTGAGGAGTAAATGTCTGGGTGAGTCCCACAGAATATGCCTGTTCTTTTGAAGTAAAAAGATAGTCAAAACAACTCAAGAGCTGAGCTAGTGTGCAACTGGGACAAGGTCTACAGTTGTTGAAACGTGGTCTGACTACGCTCTTCTTGATTTTACACCATGTGAAACGGATCCTGTAAAAAGTGTGTAAATTTACATGATTCAGTGAGGTTCTGAATAAACACTGACAGCATAAACTAAGCTAAGCTTTTGGAAAGACTGATGCCCGACCTGCTTCAGATTCTTGGAATACCTAACACAGTGACAGTAAAAGGTTTCCAGTTTGGATTATTTCCACTGGGTCAGGGCTCAGTGTGATCAGCTGTACTCACGTGCAGCTCAGTCAAGAGCAAGTGTCATGAGCCGCGTAAGCCGCTGAAACATTTGCAACTTTTGGCTCTTCCAATGAGCACAGTTTCAGTCTGGTGCTCAATCAAAACATTTTCTCATTCTGATGCACAAAAATCCTTTGCCACTGTAAATCATGTGTTTGCCATCTCGTACCAGGACGGCAGTGCCATGCCAGTGACACAGGTATCTGCGCAGGGACACACTCCAGGACCCTCTGCCAGGAGAGGTGCAATACAACTGTGAAATCTGCCTGGCACACCCTGCCAGCCTCCCCTGCTGCTGCCTTCCCTCCAAACACATGCCCAAGTCCTCTCAAGCTTACCCCACAAAGCAGCACAAAGGACCTCTGAGTTGAATTTCTTCTTGTATTTACGAATTTCTGGGCTGTCACTCTGCGGGCGGATATTTGTTGGGTTGACATTGACAACAGAGCCCTTCCTTGCATTTTCCCTCCTGACAGGCTCAGGTTTGGCACTAGATGCTGGAATGAAAGACATATGCAATCATGAAAAATGTGAGTGAGTGGCTACAGCTCATATTTGACCCGTTTGTGGCAAAATGAAAGAAACTCCAGAGGAGCGAGAAAACAACTTAGAAGCATTACATAGTCAGAAGAAAAAAAAATCTGGAAAATTCCTCAGACATTCCTGAGAAAGCACTGTGGTAACAGAGCAGCAGAGTAGAGCAAGCCACACCTGGAAGAAGAGCAGAAGCAGTACAATGAAAATTCATAGTAATGTGAAGCTTCAGTTTCAGGAGGTTTTACTCACAGTTTCCATTTCCAAGCAATAGGCTCTCCCCACTCCAGAGATAAAAAAGAAAAGACCAGGAGTGGCACTTTATGCAAATGTAAAGCATACTCACGAGAACTACAGGAAGGTCCTACTGGACTGGTGGGAGGGGTGATTGGCAAGAGTCTGGGATCTATGAACGACGTAAATGATGTTGTGGATGATGTGCTGCTCTTGGGAGGTGGGCTTTCAGCACAGGGGGTCTGCAATGAAAAGCAAGAGCTGCTTCAGGCAGAACCGTGACAGAGCTGTTACCTGCCTCCAGTGACACACCTCCCCTAGAGCCCGTGCTCACAGTTGTGTTAGAGCCTCTCTGGGCTGCCAAGACTTGCTGCCCTGGCCCCTGTGCTCCCCACACAATGCTTGGGTGGGAGAAAGCCAGGGACAATGAGCAGAGGCACACCAGAGTGCTGCAGTGCTGATATGGCAGGTGGAGGAGCAGAGGGTAATAATTCAATCTAATTTATTTCTTACCTTGTTCAGAGGTTTGTTCTGAGGTTCCTGGCAAGTCAGTGGCACTTGTGGCGGGTTCACAGAGGAGTCTGTAATTTGGCTTTGCTGGAGGAGATCTGGCAGGAGATAATTCTGGTTGTTTACGCTCCAAAGGCCTTCTTGGGTGTTAGAAATTTGTTTCCCTAAAATCTGGTCCTGCACAACAACACACAGTTAAACTCCACATTTAGCATATTTCCAATGCACTCTGCAACTCCTGTTAATTAGGATGAAAAATAATGAGCATACAGGGAGAGGTGCTCTGTGTGAGGCATCCTATAAAGAAAAACTCTAAGGAAAGATTAAATTAAAAAATTAAATACAAAAGAGCATGGCAAACACCTGAGATGACAACACTGGCTTCCACTTCTGAAGTGCTCCACAAATATTCTTCATCTACATCACCTCAACCACAGGAAAAGAAGCAACTTCATCCTCAGAGACACAAAGTCAGATAACTTGCTCTGACGTTACAGATCTGACCTCTGTGTACTGCAGACAGAAGTAGGTACTTAATTCTGGACCTGCATTTAGCTCAAAACCCCTCACCATTCATTTCCTTTCTACTTTCCATTTACTGAATTAGGATATTATTCCAGAGAGACAATATTCAGTGGGATCAGCATCAGCATTTCCAGTAAACTGATATTTGGTTCTGCAGACCTCCTAACACTATTCCACCAGCTTCATGGAAATACTTGTAAACTACATAAGGTACCACACCAGCTCTGTCCCTGACAGCACAATCTATGCAGTCAGAAGACAGTTTCTGGGAACAGATGGGTTGAAGTGTTGAGAGGAAGATTGGATGTGTAAAGCAAGAGGTGTCCCAGATGGGGAGGACAGTGCAGAGGGACCTGTCAGGGTACCTGACCACCACTGGCACTGGAACTTAGGGAGTGATGGGAGCCAAGTGCTGCACTACAAAATTCCTCCTGAATTTCACCAAAAGCAAAAAGCACCGGCCAACTCAAGCAGCTTCTGGCTGGTTGAACTCAAAGTGAAGTCTGTGCTGTGTTCTGACTTTGATAAACAACCGACTGAAATCAAATAATCTTTTTTGAATGCTGGCCAAAATAGGGGGAAAAAAAAAGTAAGAAGATAATTCTAAATAAAAGACATTTGCCTTTTAGAAGTCAAGTAATTAACTAGAAATCAAGTTGATGCTCTAAGTATTTTACATATTAAGTTAGACATAAAAACTGAAACCAAAACATGGAAGTCAGATTTGAGATTAGGGAACCAAGCCAGTATAGGGCTTTTTTGTTCAGTTTTCAGTCACATTCAGCTGAACTGAACCAAACCAAAACCCCATTTGAATCATAGGGGCAGTTTGGTACACCCTAAACCACTTCAAAGCAGTTCATGCTGATGGGCCAGGGAAAGGGATATTGGAGAAGTCATGAAGAGTCATGATGGTTGTGGCTGGTGAAAAAGGAGGAACGGATAAGACGATCCATGAGAGGGAGGCAGAAGACTGGAAGGTATCAGAAAGATTTATGAGGAGAGGCATCAGTCATCTGCCTGTTTTCCCTCCCCCACTGTTCTCTCCAAACCCTCCAGAAAACGCGATCTCAACCCTTTTCCATTCTCCCTCATCCTAAGTGGCCCTCAAAGGTTCCATCCCTCTCCTTTCCCTCAAGCAGCCTATTTCCAATACCTGAATATCAGGGGAAAGGGAAAATACTGGGCTTGTTTTGCCACAAGAGAAATACTGGTTTATGCCCTGTTTATAATTCTTTCTCCAAAGCAGGGTCTTTTCTCCTCAAGGATGGTGGGACAAAGGGCATGTGGAACTCCTTCCCCAGTCAGGAAGGACACCATGCTGGCCTGAAGCTTAGAAATCACACCACAGGTAAAGAAAACTCCTTTTAGTTCCTAGATCTTCCACAGGTCATACCAGCAGCTCTGGGGAAAACACCAGTTTCACAGCAATTCATTTCTTCTATCTGTGAGGTGAGAGTACACTCAGTAATATGTGAGAAGTGCTCTGATGCCAAGTACAAGTCTTATGACTGTAATTTTTTTCTGTTTTCAACCACAAAGAACATTGTTCTGCTTTGTCTCTCTTCATCTTTTCTGTGCTAATATTTATCAAGGGGGAAAATCCACATGACTGGAAGCCCCTACTAGAAACTACAGCTGGAAGGAACCACAACATGACATATGAGAAGACAAGTATTTTTGCCAAGCCAGTAGGGAGAGATTAAGTGTTTTTCCCCTCTTCTATTTTAAGTAGTAGGAGGTAGTTCTTGTTACACTAGAATTAAAAAAGTCAAGACTTTTAAAAATAGCAACAATGCACACCAACAATAATCAACAGTATTGCTTTTTGCCCAGTGCTTTCACAAAATATCCTGCCATCAGAAACTACTACAGGTCAATAACAAGGACAAAAAGAACTGCAATTTTGTACCTTAATGTAAGCATTTTTACAGGAAGCACAAAACCTGAAACTACACCTTTTTTTCAAGGCTTATAGCTGTAATTTGCAATAACAGAGCAGGACTTCAGAGTGAAAATGCTGAAGTAACGGATACAGCATTTATCAGGCACATTAATGATCTCACTCCCCCCCCAACGTACCCACCCCCTTACAAATGGCCAAATTACCTTCTGTTCTGTGACGGTGCTTTGGGGTTTCAGTTCAATTCCATCTGGTACTCTCGTCCTTGAGAAATCTGCGATTCTGCCGCTTAGCAGTTGCCTGGTAACAAACTCCAGTTAATGAACAGAACTACTTCAGGGGGAAAAAAAAGAGCCAAAGAGAAAAAAAAAACCCAAACAAAAAAGAAAACCACACATACCCATGCTCAAAAGTGAGCATAATTAACATTCATTAGTTACACTGAAAGGTTCTTGTACAAAAGCAAGCTGATTAGTCTGTGGATCTGCCTGAACGGACTCGAGCCTGAGGACCACTCACACACAGCAGGAAGATCTCCCCACCTCGACAGAGAACATCCCTTCATCTCCCTGCATTTCACCCATCATCCTTCAGACACTGAATACCCCAGGCAAGTGAGAGCTGATTCCTCAGGCTGTCATTTGAGAAATGCCTACTTCAAAACTTCTATCTCTCCTCATACAATGCCCTGTGGGGTGCAATTACGAGCCACCCTGCTCTCCAGAGAGAGCACCAGCTGCACTTGGAAGAGGAGAGCCACTGCTCTGCCATATGATGGTATTAGAGACCCCTCTGCCAATGCCTACTGGGACAGGCCATGCTGGAATTTCATACTGTACATCAGTCCCTGAAACACAGACAACCTCACCTCATGTACAAAGAAGCACAGAAAACATTGCCAAGTGCACACAGACAGAAAAAAACAAGAGCTGCTGGACTGGATGGGGCCAAAAGCCCCCCTAGCCAAGTATCCCATCTTCAAGTGACCAAAAGCTGATACTGAAAGAGAGCGAGGATAAGGCAAGTGTCTGTTGTGAATTCCCAGCACACCACTGCTTCCTGCACAACCTGAGGTATCTTAGTGTTTTAAACTTTGTCACCCAAGTGGAACTGCCTCAAACTTCTGTCAGCGAGGCTCTGGCCCCATTTCCGTACAATTCTACCTCACGTGGTTTATTTATCCCACTTACTAATTTATATTGATTTCTTTATTACTGCAGTCTATTTAATTCTATTACATTTTTGCCTCCTTTCCAGTAATTACAAAACTGACTGGATTCAGAATGTGAAGGGCTGCCAACTGGTAGTAGACAGTAAAGTGGTTTTTTCTTTTAAAAGATGCCCAATGGGATAACAAAGAAGGTTTTGTGAGAGAACAACCAATTTAAGATGGTTATGAAAGAGTAGAAGTTCGGGAGGGTTGGTGCTTTGTTGTTGGTTGGTTTTTTTTTGTCTCAAATTGCACCCCTCTTCTATGGGAGAGGCAAATATTTACATACTAAACGTAGGAGGAATGACAAGATATGGTGTAGGATCAATGCTGAATGCAAGGACCTGTTCTTATCAGGAAAGCAAGCAGCAGCTTATCTTAAATAATGTCAATCTCGCACTTAATAGGGGAGAAAGTAATTCCTAGCCAAGCACACACCTAAACCCACTTAGTCCAAATGTTGGTAGGAAACAGCATTTAAAGAGCAGAGAGAAGAAACTGAACTATACAATTGAGTCCCAGGATGCTCAGTGTTTTAGGGGGATTGTGAATACTGCAGGCATCAGAGAAGGAAGCACTCTCAGTAAAGTAGGAGAAATTGGCGTCAATGGAATAGATGTGCTATTCAAGCAGGTAAGATGCTGGATCATATACACTGACATCCTTTCCTTAAAACAAATATGTGGGGTGTGTGAGAAAGAATTCTGGCTCATCTCACTGTTAAGAAAAACAAGACCAAAAGTTGTTTTACTGGTCAAGAACAGCCATTTAGTCATGGCTTCCTCAGAAATGAGCCCTTTCAGAGTCTATAACAGGATCAGTCCAAGAGAATAGAAAGCTCTTGCTCTTGCATGTGTCTGAAGTGGAGTCCTACTGGACACTTCCAGGAAAGCTGGAGTGTAGACACTGAATGCTGTCCCACAGCCCAGGGAAAAACAGGAATACACAGATTGTTTTCTGGAGCCAACTAAGACCTGGCCTAAGGTGTCTCAGCCAAAGCCCACACAGAAACACTCCCACAGAGTGCAAGGGGCTTCAAATCCTACAGTCACATTTTAGAGAGCAAAAACCTTCATACCCTTCACTTATCCACAATATGCAAAGTTTCAGTGCTGGCTGCTCCTTCCACTCTCATCGTTATCCTTTTTGCCATTTACTTGGTAGCAATCAGGATGTATTTCCTAGTATCTACCTTTTAATATAAATGATGTTTAGCCAAGATGAAGGAATTATTTTAATAGCAAGATTATACTTCTGCTTTTACAGGAGCTCTCGCAGTGGCTGTGTGCACGGAAAGGCAAACCTGACAGGGAGCACCCTGCTAGTTCCATTTCTCTAGAGGGCTGGTGGATCTCACACACAGACAAGATGCAAATAACACATGCAGCTTTCCAAAGGCAGTGATACCACTCCTTCAGATCATTACAGCATACAAGGATCACAACAATCTAACACTTACACAGCAAAGTCATTGCTACAAGGCAAATCCGTATTTTTATGTAGAGTCTTTCTGAGGTCTAGGATGAATTCTATGACCTAGAGTGAATAAAACCTTTTACAGATCAGAATAAGGTGGTCTGGAAGAGGATCAGTAAGAAAATAAAGGTATTACAGTAAATGATTGCTCTTTCAGGTGCGCTGAATAACCTACAAGATTTTTACCATTCTCTCTGCTCATCTCAGCTTTGAAAATAAACTTCAGAAATTCAAACCAGGAGCATATACAGGCACAAAATCTCTACCTCTTCAGAGCTGCACAGGGGAAAGGACTGGTACCGTGCCAACACAATAACTTGACAACAATGCTACAAAACTGGCCACCTCTGCCTGAAACTGCACGTGCAATTCTGTCAGATGAACAAGAGCCCCATCCCAGAGAGCTCTGTGGCCCTGGGATGCACTTCACAGTAAATCTTCGAACCTGAATTAAACCGAAGTTTCATTCATCAATACTAAAAAATAATTCTGTTTGCTGTTCCTAACAGCACGGCTGGCCAGGTGACTCCCCTGACTCCCTTCTCTCTTGCACTAGCAAGCTATTCCCACTCCATTACTTCTCAGCAAAATACACATTTTGCATCACAAAATCAACAAGAGAAACTGGAAAGCCAGGAGGACACAGTTCAGGTGAGATCAGCTTGGGACAAGTCACAGCATCAGCTGGAAACCCGAGCAATTGTCCAAAATGTCAATATTAAAAATACAGCAAGTTTTACAACACTATTGTCCTTTTTTATAAGCAGCGCTAGTGAAGGAATCAGCTTTTCAGTGGTAATTATTTCTCCCAGAGTAAACAGACTATGTGAATATGAGGGTCATGCTTGCCTTGCTTTTTTCACTGTAACCTGTATTTGGCATGAAGGCATACAGTTTTCTTTCCCTCTCCTTTTTGCTCTCAAAAATTCCATGTAAACATAGATCAACGTGAAGTAATCTCTGTAAATGCACTACCCAGTATATTCAGTTAAAACTAGACATTTCCTCATTGTCCCAGGGCAGCAAGTCATCGAAGCTTATTACACTGCACACATCTGATGGAGCAAACATTTGCCCCCGGGAGTTCATTATAGTGCAATTAAACTGCTTAATTACAACTGCCATAAATGACTGATAGTAACTTCAAAGGAGAGGTAGTATTTATGCATGCCAGCTTTTTTCTAGATATTTAGAAGTGTGTAATAAAAAGGAAGAAAATAATAATAATAAAATAAATCAAGCCAACCTTGTGTGGTTCGTGTCATCTTCATCACTGCTGCTGCTGCTGCTGCTGCTGACCTCATCACTTGAGGAGGAATAGTCTGCTGCTTTTAACAATGAGTTGGCACTGTCTTTCACCTTGGCAAAGGAGACTGGACTCTGAATAAAAAAAACTCAGCTGAAGAACCCATCGCTAAACAGCATGTGCAGTACTTTACTGCCACAGCAAATACAGTTATTGTCACTTCCACACCAAAAAAAGCTTTATTAGGAAGCTGATGCTTTTGTTGGTCCATCAGAAGCAGGTATTTCACACTGAAAAGTGACCTGAGCCAAAACATCCAATTTTCCTACAAGCTGAAAGGTGACTAACTTTAGTTAGTATGTTATTTTGATATTTTATCATTCAATCTCGCACTTTGCAGGAGCAGAGAAGTACTTCCTTTTTCACACAAGAAAAGGAGTGTTCTGCAGCAGGACTAAAGGATTACACTGGCTTCAGGGTCATTCCAGCCCTGGACTACCCTGAGGCTTGCAGGGCCCTGCCCTGAGCACTGTCTGTGCCTGCACAGAGCAGGTACAAAGCACCTTTGGTCTGGAAAGGCAACACCAAAACAGACACAGCTCACACCCACAGGGCACTTATGACACCCTAGTCCTACAGAAATTCACATACAAGTGTCCCACACTGTGGGCAATGCCCTAAACACAGAGTCTTCTGCAAACCCCCAGTCCCTGACAAGCCAGGAGGGGCTGGGGATCTGCTAAGCTGTAGCTGTCCCCTGCTTCGCACAAGCCACCAGCATGGTCTTGACTTCTGCGCTGCAAGAAAATGGGTCAATGGCTTCCTGAAATATTAAAGACATTCCCTTCCTTTCTAAAGACTTATGATCAGAAAGGTTCGGGAAAACTGAACACTCTGCTGAGGATCTGAGCTGGACACAAGTCAGACCTGGACCAGGAGCTGATGGACACGTTACTGCATCAGCAAAGCTCAATCCAGCCCCACACACCCCTCAGGTGGACTCACCAGCAACAGCAAACTGAAGCACCAAAAGCAGAGCTGTCTGCACAGACAGAACCTCAGTGAAAACCACAAACAAATCAAAAATATCAGCGGATTTAAAAGAACCTACTGCAATCTGGCCTGGATGAGAAACCTTTTCAGCCTTCTTATGCAGCTGCAAGTGGTTCTGGGACAAAACGTTCTCTGCCTTGGCCGGTCCTGGATTCCCTGGGGATAAAAAAGAAATCAAATTTTACTTTTTTCTAAAAATGCATGTGCAGCAGAGTGAGTGAGGGGACCAGTAAGACAAACACACACACAGCTACCACTCAAAGCAGACACCACAATTCCTGATACAGAGGGAAGGGAGGGAAAGCAGTTGTACCCTCACCCCACTCTGGAACACACTGGTCAGTTCAATGTCTACCTTGTTCAGCAGCTTCTCCCATGACTATCCCACTGCTACCAACAGGACTCCTTGCAAGTTAAGGGAAGAGAATTCAAGCTCACACAAATTAGGATCTGTATTTGGGGATTTAGATAGTTTTGTCACAATGGTTTTATGTCTTCATGCATTTTGCAAAGCTTTCAAAAATCAGAATTCCTTACTGGTCAACAAGCACCTAAGCAACTCAGCAGAAGTATTAGCTTTAAAGTATTTATAGCCTTTTCCTGTCCAATTCATTATCCCTGTGGGTTTGGGAAAGCAACAAACTCTATCTGAAAACACCATATGCCAGAACTCGCTGTAATTTAATTCACTTAAGAACTCAAGAAGACAGTTTAAATCACAAGGGAGGTTTTCTATTCTTTCCGTTCCTGGTGAGATTTTCGTTTCCCCATGCCAAAATAGCACAGGAGTTACACATCACGCGGACTTTGCAAAGTTGAGCTGGGCTGTTGCATGTTGTTCAACTCTGTTATTCAAACACAAAATGACATAAGAGCAAAAAGAAATATAATCCAAGGAATTTAAAGTGTGCTCTGGATTTCTCTTGAAACAAAGCTTCCAATTCTGTGTAGTTTAGTGAAAGCAAAACTGGCTTGATTGTGTAAGCATAATAAATAAGCAATTTGTTCTTCATTTATCAAGGGCTTATAAATTAACAATGTAAGCCTCAACATAAAAATAAATGACCTCAGCAGCTCACTGGGGTGGTTTCAGAACATTTTTAGCATCCACCCTGCTTTGAACTGGGTGTGCATGATTTGCAATGTTCCCAGTCTATAGCAGTCAACCTGGACACAAGACGTTGTGACACACCACGGCTTTGCAAGGAGCTACATGAAAAATTGCCCTACAACTGACCCACAGAAAACACCCTTAGGAACAACAATAGAGGAACAGAGCTATCCACTTCTGCTCTGTGTCCCCATCTGCCAGAATCTCAGATCATGTCTCAGGAACCAGAGTCTCTACTGCAAAAAACCTGTACAATCACGAGCAAGCCCACTGTGTTTCTACACCACTACCAGTGATACTATAAGAGTTTACAGAGCCACACTTTGTTAAATTAGATGAGGTTTTCTCTTCCTTTTAACTTCTTTTGCCCCCTTTTATTTCTTTTAGTTCCACTATCTTTCTGCAAATAAAAGAATATTGGAGGAATATTTCATAAGGTGCTGTACACAGAGTCCCATGCTTCCTTCAGTTATTAGAGTGCAGAACTACTAGTGTACATCAAATGCTCATCTGTATCATCTTATCAGTGGGCAATGCAAAGAGCAGCACATGGTTATGCAGAATTTGCCAATGGGTGAACACTAGTACTGAATTACATCTGTATGTCTGGAATGTTGGCTCTGCTGACTTTCAATTGTATCAGTAAGTGCACCAGAAATCATTTGGTTTTGGATTCTTAATTGAGGCAATTCAAATTTTCCATGTGAAAATATGTTCCTAGGCACTTTTTAACTCAAAAGAGGAAATGCTTATATTTTAGGAATATGGCACCATAAAATGCAGAGGGCTTTCAAAAGCCTCTCACCAGAAGACATAGTTAAAAAGACACATCCCATTTTCAATGCAGAACTTGATACCCTGCAGAAGCCCATTTCATGTGATTGGAGTTTAGTACATTTTGACTGATGAATCTTTGACTTAGGAATCACCTGAGGTTGACCAGCTGCTCTGATGAGATCCCATCTCCCACTGCTTGTTGCCAGGAGTGCTGCTGCTACTGTTTAGCTTCAGAGCGTGTCCCACGGGGGATGACTGATGAGTGTTACTAAACAGAAAGACAAAAAGCAGATCAGACCAGCTCGTGTGGAGGAACAGAGACTGGAACAGAGCTCTGAGGCCACTGAATTGAGTTCCCTGCTGTTACAGTATGATATCATAGTCCTGATCAAGAAAAAGTTTATCTTCATTGCTGCTCCAAGTAGGGCCATCAGTAGTGAGACAAGATGAAGGAGAGGACAGTTCCCTCTGGGCAATCATTCTGAGAGATTACAGAGATTCCCAAGTAAATACAAAATATCCTTCTATAGGTACACCTCCCTTGGATTCTTCAGATCTGTGTCATTCCTGATTCCAAAATCTCACGTCTTTTAAAACTAAACAAACCTGTTCCCCTACTTCCCTAGAAGATGCATCGTCAGTCACTTATTAATGAAGAAAGGAATGTGTTGGACAGTAAAATAAGATGTTAAGTCAGTGGCTCACCCAGAAACTCTGTCTCGGGAGCCACTCACTTGTAACACTGTCGATTATTTACATGTTTCTTTTCTGCTTTGCCTTCTATAATTCCCAAGTGAAGAACATTTAGGGCTTGACTTCACTTGAAAGCTATTTCAGATGATGTTACTTTGGCTCATCAGAAATGCTGCGCATTATTTTGTTATTTCAGCTAAATCTACTTCACTTTCCAGTCTCTCTAATCCATTCTGTTCCCTGATTAGACACCCAGTTGGGGTTACCCTTTACTGCTGAGCTCTCTGCATCCTTGGTCTTTTCTCCTAGGATATAAAAAAGTACACAAGCCTTAAGGGCAGACTGCCCAAACTGATACATCTACAGGCAGCCTGTTCAAGCTACTACCAGGCAAAATAAGCATCAAGCTATAATTATAAGTGCCTATACAGGGAGTTAGAGCCAGACCTTCTCTCGCCAATGCATCCATACACCCCTCTGAAACCAATGGCGCTGGCACTGATGCAGAGGATCTGCAAGAGCATCCAGGCAGCTCTGACCAGCACCACTCTGTCTTGGAATCATCAGTGTTGACATGCCAGGACCTCAGCTAACCTGCACCTTCTGCAGCCTCTCATTCTAATGTGAGGGGAAAGTCCAGCATCACCAAATCACAAGTCCAATGACAGCATAACACGCTGCCTGTTAACTGGGAAATGGATATACAGCTGGCCTGCAACTCACTCAGGCACACCAAACAGGCTGAGCCAAAGGAAACAACTCACTGCAGGATTTGTTACAGATGGAACAGCTCTTGTATGTTAAAATACTGCTTTCCAGCAGAAGACAGAAGTACCTTGCATGAAAAGGAGATCCACAAGAGGCTTGTTTCTCTTTAAGTTGGTTATGTCAATAATTCAAAGGAAGCTGGCTTAGACACTTCCTTGAGGTTTAAGATCAGGAGGTTTGGTTAGCTATTTTTGTGGACAAACTGGCTCAAAAGACAAAATAATTTTAAGTGCTATGAAATGAGGAATGAACCCATGTCAGTTTTGGTGCTACTGAGGTTATGGCGTTGTTTTAATAAATTTGCTTTAGTTTTCCTATTGACAAAAAAGCAGCATTAGTATAAGCATAAAACACTTAAGATCTTACCTTGAAAGGCATCTCTGATGGCCAGGCTGATCCCTGCTGTAAAATTTCGAGGTTGTCCTTTCTGGAACCTTAAGGATTTAATCAAACGTTTTAAGGTCACTACTGATATTTTAAATTCAGTTATTAAACCTAATGCTTACCCTGTATCAATGAAAAACTAAGCCTAACCAACAAAAATGAATAATGCTTCTGTGGGATTGGTGGAGAGGTCTTCCATGGTATCAGCACTGGAAGCTGCAAGTCAGCAGGAGGTGCTTCCAGTTTGCTCCAAGCCTGTGCAGTGTATCAGGGTGCAGATAGAAAGAGGTTTGAACCTTTCCCTAGAGGCAGCACCACTCTTGGTCAATACTTAAAGCAGACAATGAAATGCATCTGCAGTCACTGAATGCAGCTTTCCCCAGATGGTGGGTTACCTTCTGTTGCTACCACAGGCTGGGGAATGAGAGACACACACATCCCCCAAGCACAAAGTAATAATATGGACACACAAACGCACAGACACATCCCCACTCAAATATTCTTGTACCTGTTTTCAGAAATTCTGTTAGAAATACACCATCACCTCAATCATACAAACTAATGAGCTTTTCTGCGACAGGCCAGATTTTTCAGAGAAAGGGCAGCTACAAATACCTGGTCTAACAAAAGAGGTGTATCTGCATTCACAGATCCCGCAGATACTATACACATACACATAAACCCACAACACTGGCAGTGTAAAACACCCTGATTTCCACATACCTTTGGGGGCTGCTCTTCGTTTTGACTCACGCTCCAGAACACGTCATCCTGCACAGGGCTGAGTGGTGCTGTCACCATGTCTGACAGTGAACTGCTGTGGTACACGTCCTTACTAGCCCGGAAATTTTCACACTTGAAACAAACAAAATACACACTGAATTGTACTTCCCTGCCTACGTAACAGGTCCCAGTCTCAACAGGCATCAGTGGTTCTGTTTGTGAGATCAAGTTTTCAGTAAATGCACAAGGAGGATTGCATTTGGATACAGCCCTGCTCACCTTGTTCACTGTGAAGTAAGTTATTCATTTCCAGCAGGTTAGCATGTTAGGCACAAATATTTCAATGTGAAGGGTACAATAAAAAGAAATAGCAAACACATCGATGCCATATATATATATACACACACACCCTTCTTAAATCTATGGAGAAGCAAATAGGTCACTAGTAATGCACGGTGAACTAGTTACCTGGATGATGCAAATAATACTGTTGAATATATTTCATTCAAACCTGACCTCTGCTTCCATTGCAGAATTTAGACAGTCTAATCACTGGGGGAACTCACTTCACTAACACTGATGTTGAACTTATAAACTAGTTTTTGCAAGCCCACCACCAGCCTGGAGTCAATAGAGACAAACTGTCAGCTCAAAGTGCTTTCAAGTGCTCCAGTGGTTATGAGGGGTCCCTGGCCCTTCTCCATAACAAAGTTTACAATTACTTGAGAAAAAAAAAATCAAACTTGAGAATGCAGTAAGAAAGAATGAAACTATGCTCAGACTACATATCTCATGGATAATCATGTCCAGGTGACCCCATTGTGATCCCATGATCCCATTGTGACCACCTGTGTTTAAAAGATCTCTTCAAAGGTGTCAAATTAGAGGGAACAAGAAGCAAGCATTGTAAAACTCAAGCTAAAATATTCAACGTTTAGTGCTCTGATTCTTTCGGCATTTAAAAGAAGGAAAGAAAAAGAGAGACGAGAATAGAGGTCCCTTAAATTCTACACACTGATGATCTACTCCATTAGCATCTTCCAAAGGGGAAGAAACACAAAGCTAAACATGTCAGCTGAGTGTACTGCCTCCCTGAAATGAGAAATCCTCTTGGACACACGACCAAGACAGAACACATGGAAGCTCTGCGTGAGCTGGGCCTGTCTGCAGGGATTGCTGTGCTAGAACCAATTTGATAGAAATAGAAAAAGTATTAGAGAAATGCCTGAAGCTACACCACCTTGTGCTTTATCTCGTCAGATCTCCCATGCAAAGCAAGACCAGGGCTTTCTAGGAGGTGCCTCTTTTGCATGGAAAGACCATCATCCCCAACACTTCGAGGCCTAAGAATGAGGTTTGCAATTTTTGTCCAAGTCAAAGTTCAAACTCTTGTGTCCCAACTGAGCTACTGCAACACTAGCTGCAGTTCAGTTTCCCCAAAGAATGACTCAGATGAATATTTTATTGATTTATCATCAGCCCCAGTCTATAAAATTCTCCAGTTCCCCCATCCTAAAAAGTAAAACACAGTAACTGAGAACTGCACACAGCATTTCAGAAGATAATATGATTACAAACTCCCTGTAACTGTACAAAACTAATTATTTCAGGGAAACAATGTTCAACATCGATTAAATATTGACAGGTAGTAATTCTAAAACCAGTTAAAGATACTGAAGATGTCTCATCACAACCTCCCAGACCAGTATGACAAAGTCAACTGTGAAAAACCAGTCTGGATAAGTTCACCTAGTTAAATATTCAGGTGCTTTCCCTGCCTTTTTGGGACAATATGTTCTGTTGACTCCCTTTACAGAAAATAGCTTTTTCAGCAGTTATAACATCTCATAATCTATGTCCTTTCATTTTGTCAAAATTACCTTTATGTCCAACATGATTGTCACTAATAACAGTTTTTAGTAAACCAGAATTATTTGAGCAGCAAAGTGTTCCCTTGAAACGATTCATCGTGGCTACAGGAACAGGTTTTACAGCAAGTGTATTATTATCAGAATATAGGAGGATATTTTTTCTTTGTCACTTTCTCAACAAGATACATTTCTTTTTAAATTTCAGCTTTTGAGTCCTGGAGACTACTAGAAAATTATTTGTACTTAAAAGCATGGATGAGCTTTGCTGAATCATGATATAAATAACTGAGTGAATCCAAACTCTGCAGACAGAGCCCACATACCTTCTTTGGGCAGAGAGAGACCAGTACACCAGTTCCATCTAAAGCCAAGAAGAGACACCTGCTTCCACAGCAAGCCAAAACCATCTCAAATAACCCCTAAAATTATAGTGCCTGATATTCCTCTTAAGTTTTACAGATAAAATCATTTGTATGGGGAAAAAAAATTAAAAACCTCAGCAAACAATGATTCTAAAATACCAAGATTTGAATCTTAAATTGGTTTTAAGTAACACTGAAAGAGCAGTAGCTCTTCTCATCAACAGAAAGCAGTAGAGGTGTCTTCAAACCATAAAGGGACACATAACAGAGCTAAGGAAAAGAACCCTTTGATCCCTGAACTGATAACATAAGGTGATACGGCACAAAGACTCATTACCATAGTTAGTTTAAAAAGATTTACATGGAAGAAGTTTTAAAAAGACAGGCTGCACTGCTTTTTGGAGGATGCCCAAGTTACTAATTTGAACTGAATCTACATAGAGGAAACAGATAAAGTGCAAGTGTTATTACAAAACAGAATAAGGAAAAAGAGTTTCTTAAGCTTCTGAGCAGATGTGCTCTGGGATACCAGGACAGCCCATGACTTTATGCACACCTATTTCTTGTAATATTGTTAACCTTCTTGTTCTGATTCAGCCACATCACTCCAGACAATAGAAATCTACCTACCAAATCCTACAGGAAAACCACAGAGTCAATTAAAAAACGAGGTTCATTTCAGATGTGAGCTAAATTCCTCCACTAGTCAGGCAGCAGGAGATGCTGGGCAGAGGAAAAGACTCAGTGACTTTGCTCAAGAAGCCTCTGTGAAATTCTGCAGGCAGCCCAAAACAGCTCATCCCACACCATCACAACCAGAGCCAGACCTGCTACCATACTGCAGCAAACACAAAACTGGTACAAAACAGGTGGAAATGGTACACTCTGAACTGATAACATCTCACATTCCCCTTAGCAGACAGGTAGCATGTTAGACACTGAGAAATCATGCTCCTTGCACCTCAGGGGCTGTCTTAAGTTTTCCCGTTAAATAATTCTGAGAGAGATTTGGGCAACAAGGATCTTGCCACATGATCTCACAGAATACTGCTCTGCTCAGACAAAAATGACTTCTTATTTTCAACAATCATAATGACAGATGATCCCTCTCTGACAAACCTGGCTGGAAGTTCTTCATTGCAGCATCTGTAATGAATTCAGCTTGCATTTTAACTCCACAGTTCACTTTTATTTTAAATCAACAAGGCACCCACGTACTGAACCTCACAAGTATATTGCTGTGAGTCTTTTAATCTTCAGGTGACTAACTGGCCCATCACTCCTATTGCCTGGACACTTCACACAGTTCATGCAGGCAGCATATCCAAACATGCTGTTATTGACATCACCAGCTGCTCCCAACCAGCAAAGGGAAAGACAACTCTCCAGAGGATTTACAAATTACCCATTAAAGTTCATCTGGTCTCCATGCAAACACAGCAGGTAAAGAGTACAAATTGGCTTCTCCCTGTCCACGTGGGCTGTCAGCTGGAGCTCTGCCTTGTGAGTGGGCAACAGGGCAGCTCCCAGCAGGGAGTGAAATCACAGGCAACAACTGTACATCACTTGCTGCTCTTATCCTTAAGTAACACCATCGCTTTAAACAGCATAAAATTTTTATAGTGTAGTTTCCATCAAGGAATGTGAAAGAGGTTGGTAAATACTGCTTCATTCTTTACCACTCCTCTTGGCAGCTGGGAGAGGTGCTACCAAACAGGGAAGCACTGACAGGGCGCAAAGGAATGATCACTTGTCCCAGGTGAAGAAGCCAGCCTAGCATGTAGCTCCTCTCATCCTGGGAGTGGCACCTCAACAGGGCAGAACGATCCTCTGTACAGCCACTGTGCTCCTGCAGAATCCCAAATGCCCTGCAACAAACTATGGATGCTCCCACTGCTACCACAGGGCTGAAATATTTGCCTCAGGGAAGCTGCCAGCCTCTACCCAAGGCTAAGAAACAAATGTCCTTCTTGTAGACCTTGCAATAGCTTTCCAGTGATTTGATGCTACAAGCCAGGCCATCGACTCAGCCCACTTACAATACTCGTGACTTGAAACAACAAACAGGCCCTGGAAAAAAAGGATGTGAGAAGACACACATAAATATTTTTCCATGAAAAAGCTGTCAGGTGAAATGAGGCCTTTCTGCTCACAGCATCTGTCTGTGGTGACTTTTGCATCATCACCAAACAGTAACCTGAACAAGGAAAGGCAGAGGGAGGCTTTGACTCAGAGACACTAACAGCCAGCTATTACATGACTCCCAGACTCCACAGACTCACTCTAGGGCACAAACTGAAGCAGAATGATGAGGAAGAGCTGCTTCCCCATATCCTGCTGGGGAATTTCAACCACCCTGACGTCTGCTGCAAGAGCAGCATGGGGAACTGTAGGTGATACAGAAGACTCCTGGAATGCAAGGAGGACAACTTTTTAAGCCAGGTAATAAGCAGCCCTACCAGGGGAGATGCCATACTGGACCTCAGGGTCACCAACACAAGGGAGTTACTTGGGGACATCAAGATTAGAGGCAGCCAGGGCTGCAGTGATTGTGCACTGGTGCAATTTGCAGTCCTGAGGGAATATGGCTCAGGCAAAGTGTCAAGTCAGGATCCTGAATTTCAGGAAAGCAAAGGAAGAAATTCTTTACCATGAGGGTGGTGCAACACTGGAAGAGTTTGTCCAAAGATGTTGCAGATGCCCCATCTCTGGAAACAGATTAAATGACCCTTAGAGGTCCCTTCTAACCCAAACCATCCTGTGATTCTACAATCTTTCATGCAGATGTTCACCTGAAGCTCATGCCAAGGAAAATTCCAGTTGCCAGCACTGAGTTTAAAAAAAGTTTGGGATAATATAACCTAATCTCATAGCAATAAACCATAACAGCCTCAAAGAAGTACACAGGCCCACCCTGCTGCTTGGGCTTGGCAGTGAGGCAGCTCGACGCTCTCTGAAAGCAGCTGAGCTGAAAGCAACAACCCATCCTCTCTGCAGTCTGATCCTCCCCCATTGACTCTAAGATCCAACGCAGAAGGAAATAAGGCCACAAGATGCCACAGCAGCACACAAACAATGCTCAAGCCTGCCCTGAATGCCACTCCCCTGTGGGTACCATGAGCTAAGTCCCACAGAAGCAACTGGAGAGGTGGATCAGAAGCTGCACATCCATCCATCCATCCATGCATCCAAGAGTCCAGCAGAAACTGAGAGCTGCCAAGAATAAAACAAGTGCTGTAACTGTATATCCTCTCTGTGGGGATGAATGAATGCACAACTGAAGTGCTGTGTAAAATGTAGAGGCAGTAAGATTATTCCTGCCACTGCACGTTTTCAAAGCAAATGGAGAGATCCAGCTTAAGTGAGCTGTGCTCACACTTACAGTAGTTTATTCAATTTCTATTTGCTGTTTTGTTTTGATTTTGTTCAATATGCTTACAGTCCTTTCACAAGAGACTGGAGAAAAAAACCCTGCAGTCTAAGCTACTTACCTCATACCCTTTGAAAGAGTAGGAGGTTGAAAGGAAGTCAAATTTTTGGGCACACTGAGAGAACTCTGAATCACCTCTCCCAGAACTGGTAGAAATAGCAGGAGATAAAATGTTTTGAGAGAAGGATTCCAATGAATAGCTTCATCAGAGTGCTTTCACTGCATAGGTACTGTTTAGATACCACTTCTACCTCTAATACTGAAGTTTTTGAAGTCACAGACTTTCTGGGCTTTCACAGCAAAATCTGACTCTGCATTGCCCTTACTGCATCTCCACTTACTTTCAGATTATTTCATAAGCTCAGTTAAACTTTTCATTTTGTACAAGATTTCACTTATAAAAATTCTGGCTTTGGACTTTTTTTGTAAAGTGCCACACACATTTATGGCACCATGTAAATAATACATCATCCAGGGACTGCAACAGCGCAGCCATTCAGGCTTTCTGTGAAACATCTAAGAGGAATATCATGGAACCAGCAATCAGGCATCAAGTATATACAAATAACTGTTATCTAACCCTGACCTGCAGTGCTGAAGTATAATTCCATACAGAACTTAGCAGCAACAGTGTCACTAAAAAGCCTCTGAGATGGTTTGCACAGGCCTCAGTCATTTGTGCCGGGAATGAAGAAAATCACTTTTCCGATGCGTTTTTCTGCTTGGGAACCACCCACGGTCCCTCCTCCCCACCCGGGGCAGCAGTACCTGCACTACCATGGCTCTCTGTGGTGCAGGGGTGCAGGGGCTGGAGCTGCTGCCAGAGCCCATCCTGGAGTGTGGTGTGGCCTCGTGTCCCAGCGCCACTGGCCACTGCAGGGAAGGCTGGATGGCATCACCCTTCTTTATTTGGTCCTCGGCCTGAGAAGGAGAAAAGCAACAGCACGTTGCACACTGAGCTCCAGGCTTTGGAGGCTGGATGTTCTCCCACAGCATCACAGAGTGCACCACCTCTGATGGACCTTCTCATCAGGGAGGACAGCCCTGGCACAGTATAAACCACTACTTTCTCTCCATTTGCAACCCTTCCTTTTCCATCAAGTTTCCAAACTGCAGTAAGGAGAAGGGCCTTGAGTTTCCATCTGATGTACTCTAGGTCATCTCTTTTTCTGCAGGCTGGGATTTTAACTGGGACAAATCATCTGTCTGTATTTACTTATCTTTGACAACATGCAGCCTGTTTTGCTGTGCATTTATTACCCCCTTCTACAGTGCTGACATTACTGCACGTTGCTTTCTACTTTAAAATACTTTTAACACTTTATCTTTTGGTATGTTACTTTACTATGGAAAAGACTGAGAAACATGATTTAGAAGGAATGAATTTCCCGAGGGCACTGTTCATTACAAAAATCTTTATCCTGTGGTTTTGACCCCTCTACTCTTTTCAGTTCCATTCAACATGACTCATTCCCATTCTCTGGTGTAAATCTTTAGCATATCCTCTGATTCAGCAGCCTAGGAAAGGCTCTACACAGTAAACTAGAGATTAATGGCATAAAAATACCCAGTTATCTGTGTCTGGGTGGGCTTTCTTAATGGTATCTCTCACTATATCTGGATGTTTGTGCCTGTGTCAGAAAGGTAAGCATATTCTTAACACAGCCAAAAAACTGCTGAGGACATGCAAAATGGTTCCACTTAGCCTCACAGATCTCCACTGGGGAAAAAAAGAACACCAAACCGCCCCCCTCCCAAAAAATACCTTATTAAAACAAGCTACCACAGCCAAACACCATGAAATTCTAACCCCAGAGAACTCAATCATTATATGCTCTTGAGGTCACATTTTCATTACTTGCAACTCCTAATAACAAAAGGCAAATTCTACCATAGCAAGAAAGAAGATGTAAAAACTAGATATAATAATTCACCCCCCAGCTCTGTGCCCACAGGGAGCTTCAATGCAGTATTATGATCCAGATGCAAACTCATGCAGGTGACACTCTGGGCTCCCCAAACTGACCTCAGCCTGTGCAGTGTCAAGCCTGAGCTTGGAGTCTTTGCCTCTCAGCTCATTCACTTCGGTGCTGCTGGGACCAGATACAGCACACAGTGAGCTCACATCTGGACACAGATGTGCAGGGAAAAACTGTCCTGACCTGCTGGTGACAAGGGTAAGTGGAATGGCAAAGCCAAGGAATTCCCAAGAAATGGTTCTGTGGCTCTGATCCATTAAATCTTATCCTGGGACATAAAAAACAAGTAAAGGCATCACAGCCTGATGTTGGGGAGCAGAGGTCTGTACTTGAGAGGCATGATGCTGTTCTGTGTCTGGGTCAGTTTTGTGAATCCTCACATCAGGCAAAGACCTCTGTTAAATGTCAGATAGTATTACCTTAATTCATTCCTCTTTCAAAACAAGGGAATGACACCTAGTTGACCAGAAGAACCGTTTCCCCACCATTCACCAGTCAAACCCCTCTCTAAATTCAAGTAGAAGTGACAGAGCAATATTTCCCTTTCCTTATCTTCTGAATATTAATGGCAAGCAAAGACTTTACTGTAGCATAGGTGTGTAGTAAGACACAGGTCAAGCTCCAGATTGAGGTTTAAAGATCAGTTTGCTTTTGGCTTCAGCATAACCACAGCATCATAAACTGCAGAGCACCAAAATGCTACACAGGCCAAGACAGTACCTCTTTGCTTGTGCTGCTTGATGGAGGATGCACTGCTGCATTTGAACTCGTGGAAGGCTCCTTCTTCTTCTGCTTGTGGTCATGTTGGAGGGACAGCAGCTGTGTCTGATCTTTGGGGAGAGTTCGATGCACCCTCCTGTTGTGCTGCACATCTTCCATCTTCTGAAAGCAGAGGATGATGAACCTCAGAGAGAACAATGCCTTGGAGGACAACCAAGTTGCCTGCTGGAAATAGTGGCTTTTCAAAGAACAGAGTGAGAACAGTTCCAGCAGGGCCCACAGAAGAGCCAGAACCCCGAGCAACAGGAAGAATAAAGTGACACCAAATACTATATTTGGTTTTTTAGACAGCATGTCAGAAAATCATATTTCTTCTCTTTACTTTTCCTAAAACTGGAGGACTTTAATAAAACACTCCATGCTTCTACAAATCAATTTGCAGCTGAAACATCAGAAAAACATGGTGGCCAATGCACCAAACCTGATAATGAGACTTCAGCATTAAAATTAACCTCTGCTCCACTATTTTTGTGAAAAAGAAATGGTTCTAGTTACAACCAGAATACAAAATGGAGGCTGGAGATTTAAGCTTAGGTTTACTTGATGCTGGAAGCTGCTTTAAGGGAAAAGGAATTTTAAATCAGAGTGAAGATCATTTCAGCACAGAGAAACAGTAGGGACAGAAGCAGGAGAGGCGGTGTCCCTGCTGTAGATATGGAGGATGACTCAGTAACATGTAAGTTAATTCAAAAAAAGGCTGAATCTGAGAATAAGAGGGAGTGAATGCCTTAATAAAGCCCCCCTTTGGCCCATGACTCAAGAGGATGGGAATACCCTCAGGGAACAGAGAAAGACATCAGATACAGGAAGAGGGAGCTGCAAACTGCTGTCAGTAAACACTCTCTGCATACCTGCTTCTTTTCTAATTTCCTCTGTCCATCTACTATGAAGTGTTCATCTTCCACAGCCCTTTTGTCTTCTTTAGCCCTTTCCTCTTTCCTCTGACCGACCTTTGCCTCTGGCCACCTCTGCTCACACTCCTGCTGCCTTCGTAGCTCCTGCTCTCGCCTCTGGTGCTGGAAGAGAGCCAGGGAATAGCATTGCTTATTTCGCTTTATTTTTGTACCCACCAATTACTTATGCCATTGTTCGTTAATCACAAGGCCCATTTCCTGCTCTGCAGTCACACAGGGGGGACACCCCACACACCATGCAGCAGAAGCTGCCACCACCACAACTGCCAAACTTGAAGTGAAACCTCTGCCCTTTTGGCAGCCCAAGGCAGCTTTGTCATTCATTCACGCAGGCATGCAAGATCTCCCTGACAGCTGGCAGCTAATCTAATGACAAATGTCTTCCTGTCATTTCAAGAAGGAAGGGTTTTTCCAGAGTGCCCCTGTTTTGCTGGAGCAGCACTGTGCTTCACAAACATCAGCTCCAGAGTTCACACAGTGCTTGAGTTTTGTCAGATACTCATGAGAAGAGACATGCTGGTTATTTTTGGTTTGTGTTGGGCCACTCACTACAAGAAAGACATTGAGGTGCTGGAGTGAGTTCAGAGAAGGGCAACAGAGCTGGTGAAGGGTCTGGAGCACAAGTCTGATGAGGAGTGACTGAGGAAGCTGGGGGTGTTAGGCTGGTGAAAAGGAGGCTCGGGGGGACCCTGTACCTCCCTACAACTCCCTGACAGGACATTGTAGCCAGTTGGGGGTCAGTCTCTTCTCCCGGGTAACAAACAACTTGTGCCAGGGGAGGTTTAGACTGGATATTAGGAAAAATTTCTTTACTGAAAGGGTGACCAAGCACTGGAACAGACTGCACAGGGAAGTGGTGGAATCACCATTCCTGCAAATGTTAAAAAAACATGCGGATGTGGCACTCAGGAACATGGTTAGTGGTGCACTTGTCAGTGCTGGGGTAAGGTTGGACTGGATGATCCTAGAGGTCTTTTCCAACCTATGATTCTATGACTCAACACTGCCTCCAATACCACAGTGTGTCAAGCAGCTGAAAAGGCAGCAGCTATCTTTTAACATCTCAAACACAAGCAGGGCCAGGACTCTGGACCAGACGGACTAACTCCAAACTGGGAAACGCACATGAGAAAGAAATGGGGATCTCTCATCCCATCTGCCTGGGCTTCCCACCAAAACTAACTCAAGCAAAATGCTCTTCCTCCTCTGTTTCCAAAGCTCAGGGCAGGTTGTCAGCAGGAACATGACAGAGCCCATTTAAAATCATCGCATTCAAAAGTCTCACAATTCTCCCAAGGTGGAAAGCTACGCTCCAGGTTGAGCTGACAATTTAACACAGCCCTTCTTGCCTTTCAAAGCCTACTTTCTACAGGCACATGGAATAACAATACAAGCCAGTCCCTACATCCTCCAGCCTCCTCCTCTGCTCCTTCTGCTGCTCAATCCGCTTCTGCCGCTCTGTCAGCAGCTGCTTCTTGTATTTCTCCTGGTCCTTCAGCTGCTGCTGCTGGCGCTGAGGGTCAGAACGGTTCTTGTTCTCCTGCTGCAGCCTCAGAAATTCACGACGGAGAGTTGACTCCCCTGGGAGATTAACTATGGAGCTGAAACAAAGAGGAGGTTTCTACATGACTAAACATAACATTAAAGACAGAATACAAGGTGCACTGGGAATTGTTTGGTGTCCCATGTTAGGAAATTAAGATTTATCTCCAGCATGTTGACTGTGTAGCCGCACTTGCTGTGGTACAAACCAGCCTGAAGCTGATTATTGGGTCCTTCATTTGAGAGTTTCCTCCTTATTGCAGGGGAACTAAGAAGCAGCTTATTACAGATATTTTATACCCAGCAGTTATGTTTGACAGCTACAAAACTGTTAAAGCTACCAAAGGGGACACAGGAGATTAGGGATTCAGAGCAAGTTAAGAAAGCTGTTCCGGCTTCAATGAGAACAGCTTGGGCAGTCAAATTTTCTATTCCAGTAATAAAGTTAACCTTGGTTCTCCTTCATCTTCATTCAGCTCATCATCTTCCTCCTCACTGCCACTGTAATCATAGTCCGTTTCTTCTAAAAAAGAGAATAAACAAAGCCCAGAGGAGGATACTGTTATTTAAGGTATGATCTTGAACTTTGTTTCTGAGCACTCAACCTGAACTACAGGCTCAACAGGAATTGGAATTTAGAAGTCACAGATTGTACTGGGAGGCTGAGGGGAGGCAAAATATCCACGTACATAATTCAAAATCTAGTTCAGGTAATGTTTCAGGGCGGCCCCTTTACACACACACCTTCTCTGTTGACTGACTGTGTTAGTTTTGAAAAACTAACCTATTTCCATCACCTGAAACAAATTAGGCTAAACCCACAGAGGAACCCAGCCCCCATGGAACCACCGGCAGAGGAGTTCTTTAGAAAGACATTTAGATAGGACATAAAAGCCTTGCACTGCCCTGCTCTGCTGCTCTTATAACTGTTGTATGGCTATGCTGAGGCTTTCAGTAAATCCAGGTTTCCTTTTGTATCAAAGTAAATAAGTAAATATGTAAAAACCCTCCACTAAGGCTAGTTTTAGCACAAAGGTTTAGAAGAGTTTGACCTGTAGTTTAAAGTTCTCTTCAAGACTAACATGAAGGCAGTTTTAACAGGATAATTTCAAATGGGTCCTACCCTGCATTGCTGGCTATATTGCATGCTAAATTGGGGCTTCATTTTTTTTTTTAAGTTACTATTTTGAAGTGTATAGTCTGGCAATTTTACACAGTTCTCCGTTACAGGGGAGCCTTGATTAAAATAGCACTTTTCAGGTCAAAATATAACTATTCATCAAGAAGTGATTGTTATCATTGCATTTCCCTGCCCCTCCCCAAGGGCATTTGTGAGAAACTCTAATTTACTGTCTCTCCATTCCAATGTGCTTTGAGATTCATAGCTGAAAGAGGTGGCAGATTTTGCAACTACTACTGGAGTCAGTAAATCTACATTGCAAGAACAATTTCATTTTAGGCACAAATATTCCTGTTGTCAAATCATTACTTGGTTGGAGTTTATAAGACACCTCCCAACACCACAGTGCTTTCCAAGTCTGCCCTCACAGTCACTGATCTTCACAGTGCCTCTGCCATATAAAATATACAAAAGAGGAAGACGGGAGAGAAGGAAGGGGAAAATTGTTGTTCGACAAGCTACGGGTCTCACTCCCCCTTTGCACAGCCCTTAGTCTGCCACGGCATTTACAGAGGCATTTACACAAGTATTATCCCCTCTCCAGCACTGCTTCTTCCAGGTTTTGCTTTGAAGAGTAAGGCTGGCTTTTGTAACAAACTCAGATTCTCTCTTTTTCTTGATCCACTCTGTGAAGCAGATGATTCATTATATCCATTTGTGTTTTGCTGGAGGTCCTTCTCTAGGTCTCTTTTGTGCACTCCACTGCAAAACACTTAAAGAGCCCTGCTGCCCCCAAAGAATTCACAAGACAAAATTATATGGAGACACAACAGGTGGATCTGGGACAGAAATATGAACTAAGAGACCAGAAAACGTTTGTAGAGCACCACTTAGACGCTCAAGAAAGTAGAGACCTAGACTTGGACTCCTTACTTCTGCTAATATCAGGGTTGCTCTCAGTGACTCAGGGTCAGTCAGGTTCCAAAGACTTTGGCACTTAAACACCGTGAAGGACCCAGGCTTTGACAAAGAGATCTTCAAAATGGCCCCACCACTATCAAGGACTACGCTGTCTCAATTTTCCTGGTTCTGTCTTGTGCCAAAATCCAAAGAGGACCTGCTCTCTGAAGTGCCTTTTACTTTGGTTTTGCCACATTACCCTTTTCTCCTTTTTTCTTCCTGGTCCTGTCCAGGTGATCTTTCAGCATGATGCGCACTTGCCGTTCGTTCTGCATGTCTCGGATGAAAGAATGCTTAAGCAAGGTTTCAGTGGATGGACGGTGCAAATAATGTTTTACAAGGCAGCTTTCAACAAAGTTTAGGAACTTCTTTGACCTGAAAAAGACAGAACAGATGAAGGTTTTCTTTATACACTTCATTTAAAAATAATTATCTGTGGGGCACACTGACTGCCATCAAGTCTTCTGCTCAAAGCACTGACCCCAAGCAGCCCATCTAAGCCTTCCTTGCCTATCCTGCAATTTCAGCCACAAACACCAAAATTAAACAACTGCTGCAGTTTAGACAGAGTTCAAAAGAAAGGTGTTGCTTCCCAAAGGTAAACTATATCTGCCCTCTGGCTTAACTCAGCACCAGCAAAAGCCTAGGAAACACCTCCTAGATCACTGTAAGATTTAACAGGATCATTGTCTCTGGACAAGTGAGTTCGAATCCTCCTAAGCCCAATGCAAAAGCCAGAACTATAGGGTTTTTTACACATCTTTTTACCATTTTCTGGATTTCAACTTTGGGGGTGGGTTCCGTGGGATGAGGAAGAGCGCTCTCATGGGGTGCATGTCACACAGGGCTGCAAAAGAAACCACAAATTACTGAAGGGTGCATGTCCTCCCTGTGTCCCTCCCACAGCCAGACCATGCTAACCCAGCTGGGCTATGAGCCTGGCTCTACCAACAGAGAGGAACAGTCCTCCACAAACATCCCCACTTCAAACACCACAGCACCTGCCCCAGAACCACATCAGTAGCCAACAAAATTCACACTACAGCCAAGAAATCAAGTCTCTGAACACGCAGAAATTTCCAGTTAAAACAGATTTGAAAGAAAAGCTGCAAGGCACAAACAAGTAAAACTTCCTTCATATTTTTGATATATATAACGCTTCAGAAGGACATAAAAAAAGCTCACCTTCCTCAGACACCAAAGCATGTTTTTACATATACAGAAGTTAAAGCTGAGATTGAAATACTTATCTAGTCATTATGTCTGGCTTATGGCTCAGATAAATGATAAGCTCCATTTTAACCAAGCTCTTCACTATATTGTTCATGGCATATGAGAAAATGCAGGATGAAGAAAAGCCGATGCGAAGCGAGGAGCTCATAACCTGCATCACTGGCACAGAGTGGAATGACTGAGCACACAGTTCATCTGTTCTCCGCTTGGCAGTGTGAGCACCATTATTAGGCAATCTGCAACAGATTCTACTCCTGCATTCATTCAGATGCTGGTTCCTCTCCAGCCCAATGTACTTCTCTTCAGTGTAACTGTTGTGGGAAGTTGAAGAACTCTGCATAAAGTAAATACTGTCACATCTCATCTACCTCAGGCATTTTGTATGGAATTATGAGGGTGCTCCATCTGCCATGAAGAAACATCAGGGGTCAAAGGTTGTCCTTCACTGAACAGAGCTACTGAATGGGGACTGATAGGAACTACACAGAGGCTGATTTCTTATAATATGTAGGTGTCCAGCAGTGATTCTCTTAATGGACTTGCAGCATTACAGCATTAGTACAAGTGAGAAGACTGCTCTGGTAAACCCTGCCCTGCTTTCTATTAATTTCTCTATCTGCATCCACCTGGTGTCACTTCTCACATTTGGGTTCACATCTGGTTTTGACTTTTTCCTTTGTATTGTCAATAATACATGACACAGTGGAGATGGGGGACAGAGGAAATCTAGTTTCTACCTCTGGGTCCCAGACACTGTTGTACCACAGTAAACAAAACACAATGCAACAGAATTTAATCCATAGCATTTCCCTGTCAAAACTAGGGAAAACATCAAATACAAGTGGCATGAGGAACTGGCATGCAAAGCTACAAAGTCTCTCAAAGAAAACTCCCCATGGATTCATGTCTCAGGACCAAGCTTCAGTTACGCTGAACCACAGGATCTGAAAGTGCTCCTGAACTCCAGCTGGCTCCTGCTGAAAACCGAGTGTGATGGGAGAACAGCCAAGCGTGTTTTTTAAAAACACAGCCTCCATGCTCTCAGGCTCGGGCCAGAGCATGATTGATTTCATCCCCCGTGCTCTGAGCGGTGACTGGATACCCCATCACATCACATCTGCTCTGCAGGAGCTGGGGCAAAGCAGCCAGTCCTCCATGGAAACCACAACACACAGGGACTTTGCATCCACAGGTCTCTGCTGCCAGAGGCTCACTGGAGGAGCCAGAGGGACACCTGGCAGGCACGGGGAGGCTGTAAAACTATGGCAATCTGCTGGCAGGTTGAGAATGTGGTCATGGACCAAAGCCATTACACGTGAGAAAACACAGTACTAATCCCAAAAACTGTACAGAGTAAAAATATAACCCTTAGGCCTACCTTCTCCTACTGCCATAATTATTTTCATTGACCTAAACCAAAAGCCATTCCTGTCAATGATTTCTGCTAACACGTCAATCACTTCTGCTCAGCTGAACCCACAGCCAGCGGTCAACAAAGTGATGCTAACAAGAGCTCTAAAAAAAATAAGTTTTGTTTCCCTAGGAAATGAAGGCAAGGAATCAAAATACAGACTGAAAAGCTCTGAAAGGAAGAGGAAAGCAAAACAGTCCAAAGGAGAAAAAGCCACAGATTATTTTTAAAGATACAGACAGAACCAGAATTTTGTACATCTATGTGCTAGCCAAGCATGAGTTATTTTAACACAGAACATGTTACAAAGCACAGACACCCCCACCTTTATACCAAATCACTTACGAGGAGCTCCTTCAGCCATTTCAATAGCAGTGATTCCCAGAGACCACAGGTCACTCTGCAGGAAAGAAACAATCCACATTGCAGCTTGCAGCATTCAAGCTTTTTTGTTTGTTTTCTTCTGGATTTTTAGGTTTTTTTGGTTTGTTTTTTTTCCTTTTTTTTACAGTTTCCCTAGATCTCTCCTGGATCATGTTGTTTTAGTTGGAGTGACATATATTCTCCTCCCTCCCACTCCCTACTGAGCTTTTAGGAAATGTGCTAATAGCCAGAAGCTTCCCATTTCCCATGCAACTCTGAACAGCTGAGTCATCATCTAAGCAGCCAGTCCCAAAATGCAGACCTTCTGCATTCAAAAAACAAGAGCCAGAATATAGCAGGCACCACTTAAATATATGTCTTAAATCTCTTTTCATGAGGTAGTGAGACACAGCAGTGCCTCGCCCTCCTCCTTCTGGCCCCAAAAATTCTTGGTCTTAATGCTTATTTCAGAGCAGTCACTGCTGAGTTTCTACACTGACGGAACAGAAATTATATTCAGGACTTAGGGTCTGACTTTTTCTGTCTACAAAATCTCCAGTCCTGCGTTTTTGGGCACATGAGAGCACACCGTGCAGTCAGATTTATGCTGTAGCATATGTTCAGCCCAGTTAACAGAGTGGAGTTCCCTTTATCAGCTGATCTGGATGCCAAGGGCCAGGTTTTAATTGATGAAGGTAAATTGTAAACACCACCAGTGACTGTAAAAACTTCACAGGTTTCCACTTGATCGATCATGTGCATTATTTCACTATTTCTTTGTGTCTAAATGTAGCCAAATGAGAGGCACACGACCAAACCAACTTGCAGAGCTTCTCCAAAACTATCTTTTAAAAAACACAGCGACAGAAAACAAACCCTCAAAGATTAGAGGGAATAAACCATTACATAAATAGCAGCTCGGATACAGCCCAGCTCTTTAACTAAACCTGACTTTATCAAAAGAGCCTTCTCAGTCCAGCTGCTCTGAACTCTTTACACAAGCTGAAAGTGAGTTCACATCACAGTTTGTGAAGGGATTTGGCAACAAAACCAGTGGGAATTTCATGGATTCATGATCCGGACCTGTTATTAAATAAACGACTACTGGGATCGTACCACAGGTTTTGGGGACAATGAGAGAAACATCCAGGCCACAAAAAATTTTGGAGTTCCAAGGCACGAGAGGCAGACAGGTGACAGGGAGGATGAGGAGTGTTTGTAAAGCTCAGTGTGTATACACACATATTTATGTGTATATATTTTTACTCTTTTGCCTTTTTTTTTTTTTTAAGACCAAGAAGTTACAGAGTGGCTTCCTGCTACGTAGCTCAACCTATCAGCTATAAATCTCTGTGGAAAAGACCGGCCCTGTGCCACCTTCTGAGTCACAGCACTGTTTGCCTAAGTGCTTCCAAAACCCTCTGCTGATCAGTTTTAAACTACCATCTGCAGAATCTATTTGGAAACTTACAAACTGTGATTATTACTGAAGGCAAAGAAACCTCTAGAATTAGGAGTGTACATTCTTTATAACTGTCTACTGATAAGTACACATTCTGAGAAGGAAATCGACTGGGGACAGGGAATGAAGACAAGAAATAATTTCTTGAGTTTTCAGAAGATTGGTATGGTACGAAAAATAAAATCCAAGAACATTCTTTGGTCATGACTGAGACACACAACATGACCTCACTCTGCCAGTGCAGCACAGAAGGTCTCAGCAAGGGAGAATCACACCCCCTGAATCAGTAGGAAATGGAAGCAGTAACAGGTTCTTCTCATAAACATTTCTGAGGCTGCAATTGGAATGAGAGGTGCCAAGTGGCAATGAAGAGAGCACCTGAACTAAAAGAGTGACTGCAGGGTCACCCAGAAGATGTCTGCTCAGAAAGCCTTCTCTGGAAAATATCCTGCATGGTAAGTGTAGGCAGACAAATGACAACACTGCTGGAAAGAGGCCAGAGGACAAAGAATAAGCTTTGTGAGTCTCTTTGGAACAGCATCAACATATTATGGGTTAGGAAGAAAACCAGAAAAAGTGCTTGATAGCTGTTCTTGGGCTCCCCAGTAAAAAGAAGTCATAGACACACTGGAGGGGATGCAGTGAAGGGCCACAAAGGTGCTTAAAGTGTTGGAGCTGGGAGGGTCTGGGCTGAGAGAGACAGACCAGTTCAGTGTGCAGAAGGGAAGGCTAAGAGGGATCTCATACATGGGTACAAATTCCTTCTAGGAGGGAAGTAAAAATAACCAAGCCAGACTTCTGAGTGGTGCCCAGTGACTGGACAAGAGGCAATGGACACAAAGCGAAATACAGGATATTCTGTGCCTTCTCACCTCAGCCACCCTGCCAATGACCAGAAATCATTCTGGTACAGGAAACCTCTTGCAGTCACATGCTCATATATGAGTGAAGTGATACTAATTACTGCCAATTAATTCAGGATTCACAGCTGAGTACAGAGCTCTATCACAGAGTGCAGCCACTTGACATGTTCATATTACAGTACTCCAAGTACTCCTTTGGAATTTCTCTCTTCCTTTCTTTTCTATCCAGACCTGCAACCTTCATATATCAGTACTTTTTTATGGCAGAGAAGAACATGAAAGCATATTTCATGTATTAACAAGTCACAAAAAATAATTAATAATGAAACTCCAATGAAACTCCAATCTTAAAAAGAGCCTCCACCCACATATTACAAATACTTCTATTTGTGTAGTTCTAGTACTATTGTGGTTTAAAAGGCAGGAAGTCTGAACTTTTCAAATTAGCAGAATTTCAGCAATAACCTGCATGTTTTTGTGCCTTATGCAGAGTTTAACACGTACCCTGTAATCATAAGTAGAGTCTGGGTTCTCCTCACAAGCAATGACCTCAGGTGCCATCCAATAAGGTGTGCCAATAAACGTGTTTCTTCTCCCAATAGTCCTGTCCAGCTGAGCACTTACACCAAAATCCACTGAAAAGCCAAGAAGAGGTGAAGAAATCAGTAAAAAGTTGTATTCACATGGCAGAGCGTGTGCTTGGTTACCTTCATCCTGTTTGGAATACCAAATCTTTGGGCTAAAATGTGTATCAAATCCAAGTTCCTCCAGCACATCTTGTCCAAGAGTTGAAATTTAATTTCCTTTTTTTCCCCTCCTTCTTTTTGATCAAATAAAGGATCAAATAAACAGCATGCTAAATCTGCCAGGCAGGTTACAGCAACATGAACTGGTCTAGGAAGACATTACAGAATAATTTATGCTTTATTTAAACACTACATTGAGTAGGACTAGTGTGTGAAAGTAAAAATAGTATCAACAGACAAGGCAAATTTAGATGTGTCTAATATGGCCAACTTGTGAAAGCTGCAAAGAACCATCACATCACTTCATTCTGAGGTGTCTGGAATAACTCCTTCTCTACACTCATACAGTATCTTGAAACGAGATGGAGAGTCTACTACTTTATTCTGATCTTAGACTCATTGTAATGAGAGAATTGTGTGGTGCTCTTTGAGCTGAAAAGCGTTTTACATTCATCAGGACTGTACAGAAAAATGCTTTAGTTCAAATATGAAACCAAATAATTATGTGACTGTATATCCCTCTGAGATACGATAATTGGATCCACTGGGCATAGCACTGGAGGGGTATTCACAGAGGAGGCAAACTAGCAGGGAAAAGAAAGGACTGAAAGGAGACAGCCCTATGGTTGCCACCAAGGAACAGATTTTCCCATTTATGTTGCCTCACTGCAGACCATCTGCAAACCTCAATCATTTTTGCTACTATAATTTAATGTGCCTGCTTAGCAAACCTTCTCCAAGAATAAGGTGGACCTGTGACCTGTGGGATCATCTGTGCTTCTGATGGGAAGTGTGCACTCTTACACTGAAGTGGAACGGAATTGGATTGAGGACCTCTTGGTTTTCTAGATTCTTTGGTTTAAGACACACACGCTAAATATATCTGGAAACAACTGTTATTGTTTTTTTTTTAATTGTTGTACTTAGTAAATCTGTTTCATCTTTACCCAGAGTAAGAAAGGTTTAACTTTCTTGTCAACTATGTGTCAACTATGTGGGACTAGTAACTATACAAGACCATAAACACACCCAACCACCCCATCTCACCTGTTTTAAGAGGGACCAGTTGACAGCTAGTTCATATGTTCTAGATACTACAAGCAAAATCCTGCCTTCGTTCAATACAATGCAAAACTCCCTTGGACTTCAGTTTTTGCCACAAGGTTAAACCATAATGAGATTTAAAGTACTTACTTTTACTTGTTCCAAGCAAACATCCTACCCCACATCCACAAGCCATGTTTATTATCTTTGTTTTCCAACTCTGCAGTGAATTTTTTCAATTAAAGAGAGAGGGACAGTAAAGATCATCACAAATAAGAGAAGTGCTTCCCTTGAGACTTCTCCTTTAAAACACTGCCACGCATTCCCTGTGATGTCTTTCCAAAACATGAAAGACATGCCCTCCTCAAGAGAGATATATACTTGAGTTTAGTCTTAGGAATTCACAAGTTGTCAACACTGACATGTCACGGGAAGTAAAGGAAGTGAGTAAACCCTCCAAATTTTTGGAGAGATGACTATGAGCTCAGTGGTAGCCCTCACACATGAGCAACTTCACATATTGCCAGACTTACAAAAATCTCTAAGACCACTTCCCTCAGTGAAATAAATGGATTAGTGTAATTTGTTCCCACTACTTTTTTACTTTGGAAGTCTTTGCATGCTGAGATCAGCTGTGAAGGCCTGATGCTGCTGTGACTCACTAGACAGGCTCTGTGTTTGACTGCCCAGAAGTAGCTGGATTCCCCACAGGCTGTGAGTAACATCCTTGCAGAACATGTCACATTTGCAGCCTTTTCCACGTGACAGACACCTTACAGGCACAACCATTAATGATACTTTGCATACTTGTTGCTCTTAGGTTACTGAAGGTTCTTTCTGAGACAAAATGGAAATCTTACACTTTAACAAACAGGTTTCTAGCACACCTTTAAGGAAACTTACCCAATTTTACTTCTGCATTTTCTGTGAGAAGAACATTCTGTCCTTTAATATCTCGATGGATGACATGGTGAGCATGAAGATGTGCCAAGCCCTAAAAGAAAACCACACTTTCCTTATTTTCTTCCTAACATTATTACCATTAGTGTGACACTGTTGCCTTTTTGCACTTTTACCCTTTTCAGACTTTATTTGTAAGGAAGATCCTTTAGATGTTACTAGCAACATGAAGAGCCCATTTTGGGGGAGGAGAGAGGACAGCAACTGCAAGTTTAATTGACTTCCTCACCACAGATCTGACAGCAGTGGAGCATCTCTGAAGTCAAGTGTGAAGAGAACAAAGTAGAAATACTATAAACTTCTGTCTCACAATCAAGGGATGCTCCTGACACTATGTGCTAAAAGCAGACCAAAGAGAAAAAGAACAAAGCAGAATGCTCTATATGAGGACCAGAGACAGCATTCAGCAAAATGGTAAATTCGATGGTAAATGCACTACAGAAAGTTAAAAATACCATGTCAGACCTCTTTTTGAATGCAGCAAGTATTGTTTTCAATCAGCTCATATTTGCTACATTCTCCTTCATTTCAAAATTGCCCATGGTTGAACTAGCACAGATATAAAGGAACATGCTGAAATAACCCATTACAGTAAGCCAGAGATGCTTCACTCAAAACGTTTAGCCTCTCCAATATTAATGGCTTCAAATAGAGCTTCCGCCCACCTTGTAAATTTTCCAGAAGGAAACACTGTCAATCCATGTGCAACTGAGCCATTCTGTTTTGAAACCAGGATGATTAAATCCAATCTCTTGTTTTTACCAACACGCTGTTGTGGCTTTCAATTGCATGAGGGTAAATCAAATGTTTTAACATCAGTTGCTTTAGCAACCTGACCACACCATTAAGGATTTTTTCTTTTGCAGAAGAGCCCTCCTCACACTCTCCAGTATAGTTATTATAACCTGCAGACTAGTGCCAAATCCCTGTAAGAGGGCCAATGCTCTCTACTGAGCACATTTCTCAACTCCTAGAACTAAGTTTTACCCCTATTCAAGCATTACTTTGGCATGCCATTTGAATTCCAACTCCCAGAATATACATTTATCTTACCATTATTTAGAAAAGATGTAAAACTCCATTACGAGGAAGATGGATCAGTAACCCTGTAATGGGTTTTGAATTTAGAATGACAGGTTCCAACATTATTTTTTTTTCCAGGCTAGTTCACTAGATTACACTTGGGAATTGTTTTATCCTCTGTACTTTCCAGGGAAAGAAAAGGCAGCCCTAAGCCTGCATAGAATGAAATATAGCCCCAAGAATTGTCTTGGGGAATATTGTCCCAGCAGGGCCACCTTTAAGATTTTGGAATGGTGTTTAGTCAACATTGTCTCTAATAGTGTGGAAAAGAGACTCTTGAATGTGTGCAGGTAAAGGAATTAAGAACAGAAAGTTCTTACACAGCATGAACAGCTGAAGCCAATGAGCAGTAAGATCTCCTGATGCAGAGGACAGACTTACTGAAAACACAAAATTTATTTACTTTTCTAGATGCCCAGTGTCTGGAATTTTAGAAGATGGCTATTTGCCATAGGAAACAGGAATTTTCTGTTCTTCATACAGAAAATGGGATTAACTACAACAATATGGGGTGTCAAGCAGCCGGCTCTTAAGGCTCTTCTGAACTCAAGGACCACAGACCATGAGCCCCATGGATCACAACCTTTAAACAATAATGCTCATTAGTGACCTATTTTAGCAACCAAAGGCTTGGAAAGCCCTTTTTGTTGCAAATGAGCATCAAAGCTCTGCTGGCAGGACTCACCCTGAGAACCTCTCTGCAGATGTAAGCAATCCAGTCTTCCTTGAAACAGTTCCCTTTTGTCTTCTTTACCAGGTCAGTGACAGAGCCTGCACCACAGTACTCCATCACCAGCTGCAGGGAGACAAACACAGGGCACCTTCACCACAGCTCTGCCAGGCTCCCAGCAGAGATGCCATGTGCAAACACCCACCCCACCACAACCCAGGTGTGGCAAACCACAGGTGGCCTTCCCGGATGCCAAGTGACTTAAAATCTCATTTCCTGAATCACACACATTGCTAAATAAATAAAAGAACCCAGTAGTGTTCCTCTCCTCTTGCAGGTTATAGGTAGGGGGTTTTATATATAAAATACAAAATCAGAAAAGCACCCCAAAACATGGGAATTTTTAAAAATTTGAAATTTCTCATTTTGCTGCAGAGCTTCAAAAATCTTGCCTCCAAAAAACTGGAGGATTCATTATTCTTCTTTGCTTTATTGCCAATTCCTCTGCTCCCTTTTTTTATTTTCCAACTGAAAAAAGGAGAGGAAAGCAAGAAGAAAAAGGAGAGGAGAGGAAAAGGACAAGCTCTTTCACTTTTGTAAAAAAAATACAGAAGTGTTTAATTTGGACGAAAAAAAGACTCAAACAACAAATCAAAATGACAGCACAAGTCACAAGTATCGTAACGTACTTTATACCCATCCTCAAAGGAAATCATAGGGGATGGAAGATGTCTAGGGAGGAGCAATTTTTCTCTTTTATATGTTATTCTTCAGAACAATGACTTCAGAGCTTTGCTGAGACAGAGTCCAAGCCAAGCACACTGGAGCTCTAAGGAAGGAGCTGTAAATCTAGTGAAGAGAAATGACACTGAACACTTACCCAGAGCTGATCATCTTGACCTGCAGGACTTTTCTTTACAAAAGCACCATAATATGTAGCAATATTCCGGTGATGGGAGTACTTTTTTAGCATATTTATCTCCAGCTTGATTTCCTCCTCTTCATTCTGTAACAGAAGAGAGCAGAAGGCTCCTTGGGTGACCACAGATCACCAAGCAAAGCAACCTCTGTCTTTGGAGGCTTTAACACTCAGCTGGAAGCACCCTGAGCAACCTGGTCCGATCCCATGGCTGACCCTGTTTTGAGCAGGAGGTTGGATCAGAGTTATCCTGGAATTATGAGACTGCAACTGATGGACACCTCTTAAACTGCCAACTGAAACCCCCTGATCCACAGGTCTTAAACAAGGAATTGCTAAATTGACCTAAAGGATCAAAAATGTCCCCACTGGGGCACAAAAATCGCATGTTGTCTCCTCAGGGAGCTTACACGGGACCTGTCACTGCCCCACTTGTGGTTTCTGTATGCAGTAATTTAGTCTTGGAGAAACTAACCAGATTCAAACAAAAACAAAAGTATTCCTAACACTCCATTACTTAAATACTTGGAAAAGCACTTAGTGCACACATCAGCCAATTTGTCTTCCCAGTCCTGTGGAGGGTCCTGCTGGGAGGAAACCAAAGCCAAGAAGGAGGTGACTTGCCACAAATCAAATTCCAGTGCCAGCCAGGGTTGGGATCTGCTCTTTCCTTACAGTTGTGAGGCTGCCCTACCTGGACCATGGGCTTTTTGTCCCTTCCATCATGCCATCAGTGAAGTCTCTGGCATACTGGGAGCTAAACACACCTCTGGACATCCCCTTCCAGGCACCAGCTACCTGTTTTCCCATGGTCTTTGTTTCAGTCCCCTCAGACATTCCCTCTGCCCAGTACAGCACTGTGCACAACAAGACAACTAATGGAAATACAAGTTTTTATAGTTACATTAGAAGGAAATGCCCTTTTTCAGAGAGACTGCCTGATCTGAAGAGGCCCCTCAGATCCAGCCTGTCCCAGCGAAGTGCACATAGATTTTGCCATCTCATTCACTTTAATAGGAAACAAGTGGTGCTGCAAGGTATCCCTCCATCAGTTAAAAGGAGTACGACCAAGTTGGAACTTAATTTACCTTTCTGCAAAACATCTCAGTCAGCACTTACTAGCTGAAGGGAAAAAAAAAGAAAAAAGAGGCAGCAAGAACAACTCAGCCCCACAGGACATTTTTCTGCACTTTTCCTCTATTTTCCAGTAGCTTTGCCATCGAAGCATTCCTTTAACCATCACAACAGACTGCTTACAAAACCAGACACATTGTCCTTCCTACCTGGAGTAACACATTAAGGCCTGACAAGCTAAAGCCAAATTCCCCTCAAGAATATGATGTGTCGTATTAAACCCGACCACACAAAAATCATTCCCAACAGAGGGGAACCAATAAGTTTTCCCCAGTAACATCAATCCATAGGAGACACGTTACCAGACCAAAACCTAATTGTATTAAGCCTTAGGAAATGGGAAATGTAAAATAACTCGAAGCTAAATAAGGTATTTCAGGTTTCAGAACAGTCTCTCTGTTGAACACAGGCTCTCTAGCTGCATGCATTACACTATATATTCCATTTATCTTTTGTATGCAGTTAAGGAAAAAGGAGGACCCTTGCCCTTTGGCTTGATACAGCCCTGGATGTTGTATGACTGAATTATCAAGGGTAAGGAGGAGCCCCATGCAGCACCTGGAGTCTCAGAGCTGACTCCAAGACAGCAGGCAGGAAATCCTCCATGAGCAGGGTCCTGTTTCTCCCTGTACATGGCCAGAGCACATTCAAAGGGAGGTGAGAGCTCATGATGATGCTTTCTGGGAGGGGAGATAGAACTGGGACTCCGGATAGTGCACATGAAAGGGTGTAAACAGGTAGGTGAGGAGCAGGCAGAGAATAAGGACATGGGAACTGTCATCCTGGACCTGACCACAAGGGTCCTGTCATCTAAACGAGTTTCTGGATCTTTAGGGAAGAAAAGTAGAAAACAGGAAGGACGACTCCTTTCCTCCTGCTGCTGTCCCTCCTGCATCCTGCCTACTCCTTCTGCCACGGGAGAGCCAAACGTGGAGGGGAAACATTCACCTTTGATAAAGGCCTTCCCCAAATTACTTAAGATCTTTACAGATGTGAAGGGTTTGGGGTTTTCTTAACTCTTCCCATCTGCATGAACTTTGCACAGGTGGAGCCTGACTCCCTGCTGTGCCCTCAGCACCAGCCTGCAGCTTTCACAAAGTTCTCCTCGGGGAGCTGGCAGATCCCAACCACTTCCTCAGAGCTGCTGCCTATTTTTCAGCTCTTCTTCCTTTGCCCAGCTAATTTGCTAGATGTTGGAACCATGCTGGCACAGCACCTGAGTACTTTCCATTCCTCTGCAATCTCACCTCTGTGTTTTTAGAACAAAGCCAAGCTTGAGCCTGTCTGTGAACACAGCCGGGATACCTGGTAGGCTCTTCCACACCCACTGGCAAGAGGAAAGAGTAGCTGCACATGTGTAATGCTTCTTTCCCAGTACCAGTAAGATGATGCAGCTCCTGCTCTATCTATTTACCCTGCACCTGCTTCTTCTTCTCTTGCCCATCCTTGCCTGTAGAGGCAGCTACATGTGCCCGCACAGGTAACACTGCTCGGTACAGGTTGAGTGCCTTGGGGAGACACTGCTTAGGGCAGACAGAAGGACGAGCTTCAAATATCAGTCAGTCTGTAAGGAAAGGGCTGCACAGGACAGCAGCTGGGCATTTCACAGACAAATGCACTCTGGCTTCCCAGTGCTTGAGTGATTTTTGGAAAAATTATTCTATGCCATGGAAAAACCAAGGCAGAAGGGTAAACGTGAGTGATTCTGCCCCGTGGGTCATGTCTGAGGCCTGGCCAGGAACTGAACCTGGACTTGCTAAGTCTCAGTGCTACAACATCCTCCAAGCAGGGTGACTGGGGACAAAAGCACCCTCAGCTTCTCAGTGCATGTCCATGCTCAGGATTTCCACTTTCCACCACCCTCTTGTCAGCGTTACCATCAGCCCCATCTCTGAGGGGTCCACAAACCTGCTCATAAATAATTGCTGCTTAAGAAAAGGAAACAGGCTCGCAGATGTGCAGGTGCAAAAAAACTGTTTCCTTTCACAAACCAACACGTTCCTGGGCACAGATGGCTTCATGCACAAAGATGACAGGCTCTTGATCAAAGGCTGTTTTTGAAGATGTGGGCCTATCTACAATGGCATTAGGAAGCACAAAACCAGAAAGCACACGCCTCTGATCTCAAACAGAAACAAGATATCAGCTGATAAATACTGCACCAAGAGACCCCTTAGTACTGGGGCAGGCCTAACAACAAGTTTCACATTTAAATGTTATTTTGCTCTCTACAAAGAATGAAAGCAAAGACAGAGAGAGAATGATGTGCTGCCAAAGAGCTCTTTGATCACCTGCACCGACAGCTGAAGAGACAAGCAGCAAGAATCCAATCTCTCTGCAAGCGCTCTGCTTGCTTGGCTCCATCAAATAACAGGAAGCAGAGCCTGCATGGAGAGGCACACGAGTGCACGTTGCCATCAGCTCCCCTTTAACCATTTCAAAGGGCTCCCCCCCCTACCCCTGCAACACAACACGGCAGCACTTCCTGACAGATGTCCAGAGGATCCCGCAATGACCACAGCATCCTGCTGCTGCCCTTAAGAATCCGGCCCAGGGCTGCAGCTCATGACAGCAAAGGGCAGATTTGCTTAGCTCTTGGTGTGCCCCAAATCTGAACAATCACAGCTGCAGCTGGTCAGGTGATTTCTGATAAAATGACTTCTTGCTGGAAAAAGAAACCCGGTAGGCTTGGTGAAAGAATCAGAATCTTTTGGTGAACAAGTGACAGAAGTAGCAGAATGGACTGCATCCAGGTCTGCCAGCCTGTGCCCTAGCAGCAGGAACACAGCCAACCCTGCATTGGGAAAGTGGAAATAACAGCAGAAAGCCTTGCACTCCCCCTGTGCCAAGGCCAGAAAACAGAAACACTAGAGAACAGCTGAGCTGGAATTGTTCAGGGTTTAGTGGGGGACTAGCACCAGGGAAAACCCCTTTGAGCAGCTGCACCAACAGGGTCCCCACTCATGATCTGCTACCACTTCCCCTCAAGCAATGGGACAGGTTCCCCAGTATGATGCTGGTTCTCTAACCTGCAAGGAAGCAGCAAATCAGACCCAAGCAGCTGGTTTTTGCTCCCAGAACCATGCAAGTCTACCAAGGTGATTCCTGAAGCTGGACCACATGGTTGTGCTGCATTTAAATTCTGTTGCCAAGCAAGAAGGCACTACTGCATGCTACAGTTTGATACTTGCATACAAAGGAAACTGTTATGTATAGCAAAGGGAAGGAAATCTTTCCAAGGTTCCCTTCCTGCAGTTTTTTCTTCAATTGTTTCTTCAAGGAAGGGACTGTCACTGATGTTAACATGACAGCCCACAAGTGACATCGTTGACCAGCCCTCACGCACTGTTGACGGATCCACTACTGGTTGTGCTCTTCAAAGGATAAACAAAAAACAATATTTAGCAACTTTTTCAACACCCTGTTCCAGCACTGACACCACTTTATAAATGTGAGCAGGGACAGTGCCAATTAAACTGTCTCCTTCTCTCATCTGTCAAACCACAATAAAAAAGTGCTACATTTGCATTTCTAACATGTTCCTGCTTGCTGACTGTCAGGGCAGCTACTCTGAGAAATGGCTGGCGAGGGGATAGGATGTGATGAAACACAGCAGGGGCAGCGCAGAGCTACAGGAAATCTTTTACTTGTTATCTCTGGAAACAGATAATCAACTAGAAATAAGCAGCAAGAAACTTCTTCTCTTTGTTATTATTTGCCACCAAAATATATGGCAGTGCATTCCCTTATCACTTTGTCACCATTGGTCAGGTACAGTTGAAAAATCTGGTTGTGTTAACACCTCTCAGTACTTTATAAAACACAAACCAGTGTTCAGCAAGCATAATTTATACCACAGGATCTTCTTTTACAAGCTATCCACCTTCTCATGATCTGATTATTTATTTTTCCTTGCACCTTAATAACAACCTTTTTTATTTTTGGTTTAGCACTCACCTCAGTAACATTCATCACTTTGATTGCTGCTAGCTGCCCGGTCTTAACATGACGACCCTGTTAAAATAACGAAAGACTGTAAGTAAAACACATAGGTAAACTATGAATACAGCAACAAATTAGGCATATAACAACTGGGTTAGAATAAGTGCTTTCAATCATGTTCAAAGTCATGTTGAACAGGGCTTTGAGCAACCTGTTTCAGTTGAAGATGTGCCTGCTCATTGCAAGGGGGTTGGATTAGCTGACCTGTAAAGGATTCCCTCCAACCCAAACTATTCTATGTATCAAAAACCTTTGGTGATACAAAACTACCAAGGTGAAGTTTGGTGATGTGTCCTCACCTTGAACCCCCACATGTCCTGGCACACCTCATGGTAAAGGGAAAACTCTGGGTTTCAGTACATCAATCGGTACGTGGATGCCAAGAAACTAAAGCTCTATGTAAGTTTTTGCCTTTTTTTTTTTTTTTAGTGCTTTTTACTGTGAAATGCTTAGTTTTTAAAATTCTTACTGCAGCTGAGCTAACTATATCTCAGCTACTTCCCAAAAAGCATGCATGGGTTTTGAATTTAAAACTGTCATCTTCTATGGTGGTGGGGAGGAACTCACCCAGGTTTGACTGAGTAGGTGCCTACACATGTACACACTTCACTAGTGAAATGCCCACACCCCACAGTCACCATTAAGCAACAGATAACTGGTAACTTCAGACTAGGTAATTGGCTTGTTTTTGAAAACAGAGCTAGTAAAAGGGAGGTAATAGGGAATAAAGGTATTTAAAGAGCAAACTTGCTACTGAGACTGACAAAATGTGATTCACAAGAACATGTATTAGAAACATAACCAGGAATCTTGCTGTAAATTGCAGTTTCTTGGTTTAGTTAGATCAAGTTGCTCAACAGATACCATAGGTGTAGTCTTTTGCCATGACAACCAGCATCTCATACTGGAGGATAGCATCAAAAGATTTGACTGAACAGCGGATTTGCTATAGGTCCTAACTCTTCACTGCCATTAAATGTTCAGAAATGGGTTTGAAGCTTTGAGACTGCAATTTTATTCCTGAAATAGTAGTGCCTGCAAAGCTGTATATTGAAATAACTAACTAACATCAGTTAAGGAAGCCATAGGAAATCAGGAAATCAAATATGAAATGCTGCAGTTTGCAGACAAAATGATTTGCAGGTGCAATTTACACCTGCAAAATTAAAAGCCGGGTTGATGTAATTTTAAAACCCAGGTCCTATCTGCACAAAATTGCATACAAGTGTTATTTCTAAGACTAAGCAATTTTGCATCAAAGAAAAATGATTCCTCGTTCTCAGGCGATATGTCACAGTCATGTTTTCTTTTACAAAAAACTAAATCCTGCTGAGTTTTTTGTATATTTATAAGTGTCCTCTTTCCACGGAAGCACTCCTGGGATTGCAAAGCTTTTGCTCATAAAGAGATAGGATTTATACACTATCACAGACCTCAGGAGGAAGGCAAATGGGGCACACTCTCCCCACAAGCCTCCGTGGGTGAGTGTGGATGGGCAGTGACCAGTGCTATTCCGACAGATGCCGGTGTTCAGTCAGCATCCATCCCTGCTGACGTCAATCCCAGTTACTGAGCTTCCTCTGCACAACCACAGCTCCTTTCTTGGAGGCCATTGTTTGCAAATGTTTCCAGGCATTCAATGTCTTGGCAATACAGAGAGAGAGGGCCTTCCACAAAGCACAGCCATGCTCGACACGCTGGCACCCTGACTTCACTCCAGAGTTTGTCTGGAGTCAAGTATGCTGGTAATTCCATGTCTCTGGCCACCACAAGTCACCAGCAACCAACCCATTGAAACAGTGAGTGTCCCCTGGGCTGCTCTACATTCTGCAAAGGATAGTGAAAAGGATCAACACTAATTTTCATAACTGTAGTGAAGCATAGAGATGGTAGGTTTTTGGTTTTTTTTTTTAAACTCTCAGAACTGATGTGGATTAAATGTTATAATCTACAATGAAACAGATCATTCCCAAAATCCAGTGCTAGAATTCAGTGCATGACTTCAAACTGTTAAGTCAATTTTCCTTAACATATCTAAAAGCAGCAAATATCCTCAACCCAGCCCTGGGCTTCTTGTCAACAGACTGAGACCAGTGCCTAAGCAAGGAAAGGTTTCAGGGCCTGGACCCTTATTTTTTTCATTTGTCAATAAATCTCAGAGGTTAGCCAGAGTTCATGGGAACTCTCACATTGATGCTTCTGATGAAGTTGAGCATATGTAAACTGTTTTGAGAAAACTGGTTGTTTTAACTGCTTCCCAACCAAATGAGACCAAAAGACTCACTTCCAGTGACAAGACATGCAGAAGTTCATCCTTATTGATTTAATAAAAAATGTGAGGAAGAACAAGGGGCATTGCCCTCGGAGCCCTCTGTCCCTGCTCATCCTCTCCTGATTATTAAAGAGAATCAGCCTGTTGTGATTCAAGATCCTCCCCTGCACATTTCCCCAGAAACTGAGCAGAGGGCTGGAATGGTCTGTGGGCCAGTTTCCCTCATAAAAGGTTTCATCTTTCACCCAAAGGCTCAGTGTAAGAGCAGGTTTCAACTCTGGAGATTGTAGCCAAAACATCCAACAGATATCTGCAAGTCAACCATATTCCTACCCAAGAATACAGCATTAAACTCTATCAAGCTCATACAAAGCTTAGACATCAAAAATTCTGAAGCTTAACGACTTTCTAAAATTGAAGTTCCTCCCTTCATTTTGATGAAGTATCCAAGTTGGAAAAAATTCTCCCATTAGGTTTGAGTCCAGCTAAATTCCTGGACTCCTCCAGAAAATATTTCCGTATAAAGTCTGCTGTAGCTGCCAGTTAGTCACTAAAGTAACATTCAGCAAACCTGGAGCCAGCACACACATTTCTCAAATCTGCATACTGCTCATTGCAGCCAGACTTATGGGAGATGCTTTATGCCAAAGATCTGGTTCTGATGAGCTCCAGCTATGCATTATCTCTGCACGGAGAGATACATGGAACAGGGCAGAGTGCTCAGTGCTATTCCTATTGAATGTGTATTTATCTTTTTACCTCAATCAGATAAAGGAACTGCTTATCTATGCCCTCTACCAGGGGTCAAGACATGTACTTTTCTATTTACATCAAACAAGAGTGGCAACACTAGCTGCCAGCTATTAGCTGATAAAGTGGCTTTACATGAATTAAGTATATTTACAAAATGATGCATTCAGTCACACAGAACACCTTTTCCTGTTAGGTCCAAATAAAAATTGTGGAAGGTCCCTGGCTTGGGCCATGATTACAGAAGAAAGCCAGGTCCCAATAAGATTGTAAGGCTGCAGGTCACAGGCAGAGCGCTTGGTTGGACAGCTTCCCTCCCAGATCCTGCACATCTCTCTCTTTCTAGAGGTGGAAAACAGCTCCCATCAGCTTCTGACAGACCTGGAGTGGACAATTGCAAGTCCAGACGACAGAAGCCAGCTGTCCTGTTAAGTGCTGCACACCATGCCAAGGCAGCCCACGGCAGTCCCATCACACGCTTCCTTTTTGGCAAGAGGCGCTCGTTCAGTGACCACGTGTTTCTGGGTCTGATGGAGTTGTCCCCATTTAACCGCTGCAGGAAGAAGTGCACATGAAGGGCAGGAACTGCCTGCTGCTGCAGGATACCATGGCAGCACCAAGCTGGTGGGTTTGACTGTGCAGAAGTCCTTGTTTGTGCCCGTGTTCTGCCGGCAACCAGAAGCACCACCTCACTTAAAAAGCAGGGGGTTTGGCGAGGCTGCAAGATGCCTGTGTGCAGAGACACCTCCCAGAAACCAGAAGATTTGGACACCTGCCAGTTTGTACCTTTGTACCCACATGAAGGGCAATTTCATATCAAACACATCTGATGGCAGACCACCAGGCACAGACACAACCAGCTCACAGTATCAGCACACGAGTGTGGGGCTCCCTTCACAGCACTGTAATCCTGAAAGCTGGTAGATACCACAACCTTAACTCATGGGATCTTCTCTGGATTTGCATTGGAAAGCCATATCTGGCTGTTGGAGGTGTGGAACTTCAGATGCCAGAGGTCTTCCTCACCCAGAAGCATTAATTATGGGATAACTGATGCAGCCTGTGGCCACCCGCCCTCTGGGAGCGAGGTGAAGGCACAGCTGTCACTGCAAGCTCTTACCGAAAGTGAACTTGAGCAAGCAGATTTCCTGCTCAAAACCCACTGATGAACTTTGAAGTTTGAGCCCATCTTGGGTAAATCTGTGTGGCCAGCGGTTCCTGGTAGACTGCCAGCTCAGCCTGCTGTGTCCTGTGGGACCGGACCCCACCCTTTCGCCCCTCTCCTCTCCACCCTTTCCATCCTGGTAATACAAGAAAAGCCTTTAAGAGATTATGAACTGAGTGAACAATGCTCTGCACAGGGATCCAGGAAGCCCTGTGTCCTATTCCACATGACCTTAACAAAGTCATGGTCCTTCTGTTTCCCTTTCCACCTACACAGGGCTTTTCTACTAAGACCCAGCTCTTCAGAAGAGAAGAGCAGTGTTTGCCATCACCAGCCCCCGTGCCAGACTGGGAACACAAGCCTTGCCTGTTCACACTGCAGGCAGGCAAGGCCAGCCTCCCATGGAGCTGCAGTGTGCTCCCCAGTGGGTCAGCACAGCAGGAGAATCCCAAGAACATAAAACCTGCAGACGTGCTGCTCTTATGCTGCAGCTTAAAGACACAGCTGCTGTTTTACAGCATAAGGCTGCTCACACAGACATGCTGCTGTCCCTCACGGTCTTGACAATGTAAACAAGTGGTCAGGGCTTGCACACCTGGGGCTATAGTGGTTTGGTGCTGGTGTCACCCAAGAAGACAATTTATAGGAGAGCTCTATCGGCAAGAGCAATCCATAATCCTCAGCTCAGCAACTGGTACCACATGAGATGACCCCCTTGAAAGGGGACAGGAATAAATTCCAAGGAAGAACTAATTATGAGTTTGGGAGCTTATTGCTTGTTTTTGTCAGTTAACGGCCCGAGGCAGAATTAAGGGCCAGTTGTTC